CAAATATTTGTTTTAATGTGCATCGTTTTTGTGTTGTACAGAGGTTTGAGCGCATTTTGAGTGCAGAGGTTTTTCGTCTGTGGATCGACAAATAGGTAAGAATTCATCAAGAAACCATAGCATTCGTCCGGGAACGGTAACCAAGATAAATGAGTCCTCAGTCAAACAAAACACGTATGCTTATGTGCTCAACGATTGTGTACGTGCACCACATGCTAAGATGCAAAATGCAAATATTTGTTGTTTATGTTGCTGTGTTTTTGACATCAATAATGCGCGAATTTCCATGTAAATTTACGACCGTAGGATTTGTTCCTGTTACGCAAAGTGCGACCCAACTGATGGTCAAATGATAGGTTACGCCACCCAATTACATGACCGGTGATCATTTCCATGTCTCGGTTGTTTAATCTTTGCTTGATACATCAGTTGCCTTTTTTCTTCAAAATGTGCATGGGTTTTGAAGTGGTTCAAAGATTTGTATGTGCTTCGGTGGGAGGGAGGCAAAACCAATTTTGGAGTCGATTATTTTTATGCGTTTTCATTACACTAATGCTGGGCATTTTAAGACAGTTGAGGTGACATTGCACCCACGGAGCCCACACCCGTTCCTACCCATATGAAAACGTCCACGTGCCACCTGCCCGTGAAACAAACAGTGCTTATGAAGTTGTGTAATCAACGCTTGAACACATGTTGCATGGGTATTAAATAAGCGGTTCATTCCCGCATGACATTTCTCTGAGCCGGGCTGCGGAGCATACTGCTTTATCGCACTGCTTAAAAAGTCGGTTTTGGAAAACAAATCGCCATCGATGTGCCCTTGCATCGGAATCGATGCATGGGCACACTTACAACGTCCAGGGATACCTTTTGCCCATGAAAATTGTTTTTCTTTCTTGGGATACACTTTGAGGACATTTAGGACCCTACGCGCATTAAAAGACTCGGTGACTCACACCCTACATCAGCAGTACCAGTAGCTAGTACTTAATCGCAGGCAATCGACAACATGCAAGGCTATTATGGCTACATTGTCATAAAAATGTAGAGAATGAAAACATGCAGGACAGATATGATGAACTAGGATACGCTCGAAGTTCATGTAAAAACCCCACATTGCATACGATGGATAGCTTACTTAATTCAATGAAAGAAATCGACGCAGTACCCCATTTATCATTAACATCGGCGGCGTAATCTTGAAAAACTGAAGTGAAGTTGGTGGACGTTGGAAATAAACGTGAAATCTGTCGATCGAGAAATTCACATCTTGACTACCGAACAACCTACACTTTCGATATAGAATGTCTGCGCCAGAAGCTCTCAATCCAATTACTGGTAAACACACACAATGTAAATTTAATGGTATGTGGGGCACCTGCCAAATGTGGGCATGAGTAATGTACCCATAAGCCAAATTTTTACACCACCTCGAAATCTTTGTTGTGTTAGTGCACGCCGTCAAGATCCCGAGACATTTCTGGGGCTCAGCCCGAATTCAGCCTTAATCAGTTGTAATATGGAGTTTCAAGGCCCAACTTTACTAACAATAGGCCAGTTTTGGTTGCGTGCCCACAAACAAGGTCCAAGACACATGTCCCCGCAAAATATAATAATGTGAATAGGTGTGTGTGTGTGTGTGTGTGTGTGTGTGTGTGTGTGTGTGTGTGTGTGTGTGTGTGTGTGTGTGTGTGTGTGTGTGTGTGTGTGTGTGTGTGTGTGTGTGTGTGTGTGTGTGTGTGTGTGTGTGTGTGTGTGTGTGTGTGTGTGTGTGTGTGTGTGTGTGTGTGTGTGTGTGTGTGTGTGTGTGTGTGTGTGTGTGTGTGTGTGTGTGTGTGTGTGTGTGTATGCGTGTGTGAAGTAAGCCACAACTGCAGTGGAACATACAACATGACGAAACCGGAGGAAGCACGATAAGCCAGGCCATAATTTACTCATCGCTCGAAGCTTAAGTCGAATCCAGGTGTTAAAAATGGCGCAAGGCCAAAGCCAGTCAGGGAAAAATGGCACAGGTGGATACCGAGGCAGAAGCCATCGAAGAAAAACTGCGACTTGGCGAAACTGAAGCTGAAACCGGCTTCGTCCCCATGACTTTCATTTAACAGCATAACCAAGCACCTCCTGCTGTTGTAAATTACTCTGACTATCTGATATCTATATGATATTTATCTGATAGACATCAGACTGTCTGACTGTCTGATAGGGGACTATCTTTTTCAGCCTGTTCGGGCACATTCGATCGTTCGGGGGCCGTCTGCATTGGATCTTGACCACCTCGTAACTGAATGGGGAGGGGGGGGGGGGCTACGCACTTATCGGGGGCCCGTCTGCTCGGCTACATTGCATCTTTCAAGGGCCCTCTGCACAAGGATCTGTGTACTTCTCATTTGAATGGAAGGCCCACGCTCTTGTCAGGCCCCTTCTGATAAGCTGCTTGGGCACATTCGCTCGGTCAGAGGCCATTTTCATAGGGTCTTGGGTACTTTCTTTTTTAGTGGAGGGCCCTACGCTTTTGACATTGTGATGAGGGTTTTACAACGCACTCAGCTGTTGAGACTATATGGCAACGCCGGCCTCTCACCCTGACAGGAAGGGCGGGCACCGGTGGGAACCGAACCCCGAACCTCTAGTTTCCCAGACGCGCAGTGGCTGACGCAGACACGTTAACCACTACACTATATTCGGGTACGCTGTATCTCTTGGGGGCCCTCTGTACTGGGTTTTGGGTAGTTCTTATCTGAATGGAGGACCCGTCGTTCTTGTCGGGCCCTTTCTGATAAGCTGCTCGGGCACACTTTCTCGCTCGGTGGCCATTTTCATTGGGTCTTGGGTATTTTCTATTTTAATGGAGGGCCCTACGCTCCTTATATTCTCATTAGGGTTTCACGACGCACTCATCTGTTGAAGCTATATGGCAACGCCTGCTTCTTACGGGAATCGAACCCCGTACGTCCTGTTCCCCAGGCGCATAGTGGCTAACGCAGAAGCATTAACCACTACAATATCGACACCACGCTCTTGACAGGGGCCATACATGTTAGGCTACTCGAACATGCTGGATCGTTTCGGGGGCCCCTCCACATTTTGTCATGAGTATTTCTTATTGGAACGGAGGGTCTTACACTGTTATCGGGCCTACATCTGTTAACCTGCTCGGGCGAACCCGATCATTCCGGGCGCTCCATGCTGTGTCTTGAGTACTTATTTGAGAAGATGGCGCTATGTTCTTGGCGGGCTCCATCTGTTGAGCTGCTCGGGCCGGTGGTGAATACAGACGGGGAGGGGGGGGGGAGGGGGAGGCACGGGACCGTGCCCCCATGGACCATGCCGACGGGGCTGACAGGCTCCGAAGGGGCCCAAAACTGGCCAAACAGACACACTTTTCTTTGACACACACGCTTTGATCTCATAAGTGGAAGACTGTTCACTCTTATCGGGCCTTTTCTGTCAACCTGCTCGGGAACTCTTGATCACAGAAGGGTATTGATTCACGGTCTTGCGTAATTTCCCTTTGCTCAGAGAGTCTTGTCCTCTGGCCGGAGCCTTATAAGTCAGCCTGTCGGAGCACTACCAATCGTTTGGGGCCCACCACGTGTGTCCTGGGTTCTTTCCGCTCGCTCTGAGGATCCCACACTTGTTGACGGGAGCCTCCTCGTTAGCCTAACGCAGCACTCATGATCGCTCAGGTTCCGTCCCTATTGGCCTTGGTGTCTAGCCTTAGAGCAGCAGTCGGATATCCGCCGATAAATTTTTACGCGCGATTGTCGGACGTAATTTTACGCGCCACCGACGTCGTATGTGTCGTCTTCCGTGGGTATGGAGTGTGTTATTATACTTGTGTCATTAAAGTGTGTTGTTATACTATGTCATTATACTTGTGCGCCACGTTCTTGACATGCTTTGAATGCGAGGATATTTTGCACTCGTTTACAACATAGGAAAAATTCTGTCATCGGCCATCACCTGATAACATCACCCAACCGACTAGCCGTAAACAAGTTAGAAATCGAGTCTGCGCTTGGCTTTGATGGTATTTAGCGGTGAACTTGAGTTTATTTTGCCTGTTTTTCTTAATCACCCTGCCTAAAAAATCTCAGGATTAAAAAGGTCTGAACAAAATGATTGGGCTACATACAAGTGCATATGTAGCACGCCTCGCTTTATGGGGCTACGCGCAGCAACATGGGTTCCTACAATAACTATATATATATATATATATATATATATATATATATATACATATATATATATATATACATCCATATATATATATATATATATATATATATATATATATATATATCTCTCTCTCTCTCTCTCTCTCTCTCTCTCTCTCTCTCTCTCTCTCTCTAAATATACATATATACATATACGTGTAGATGTACATGTAAATCTAGATGCATATATTTATCAAAAAATATACACATGTGTAGGTTATATCCTCCTTATCTTACAATTTAACGGCCTGAATGCAAAGGTATTTTTTAGAGGGGGACCAAAACTCAAGGGACCTCACAATCTGCATGCCTTCCCCCTTGATGTAATCCTGGACCGGCCCCTAGCCCAGAATAGTGCTCCTGGGTAGCCTGTAGGCTACCCACATGTCTGGGTAGGCCCAAGAAGTACCAAGAAGGGTGCCATGAAACATATTGAAACCTCCTTACATGTTATTGCCCCATACACCAAAACATGACGCCAAGTTTTATAACTTCAGAAATTTGCAACCGCAAGATAACGTGACTGGACATTTGTAACGGTGCATACTTAAATGACGTCATAGAAACCTTAAGCAAAGGGTAAGTACTAAAAAATTAGTTGTAGCAAGCGTTTTGTGTGCTAAAACCCCTCAGAATACAATAGAATTTGGCGAAATATTGTTAATTTGTCACAGTTATCGTGCATATTCTGAGATATTGTTGCAGTAGCACAAACAAACACTATTCAGCACTTTAGTGCCACCCGGTTTGAGGATAAACCGTTGGCCGCGTGGTACCGGCGTTACGGGAGTTCGCGTCCGGAGTGTGCGGCGATTGGGGCGGTGAGGGTGCTGCGTGCTTTGGGAATACGGGTTTGTTACCAACTAGTAAAGCTCCCCAGCTTACTCTGTTAAGTCACAGTCATGTCTGCAAGAATGTTCAAGAAGACGACGACCACCACGACGTCTGTGTCGTCGGGTGGATCCGCTGCGGCAAGTCCAGCCAGGAGCCGCTCTCCGAGTAGCCCGGCTAGGACCACCCGCATGGAAGAGAAGCAGCAACTCGCTGGTCTTAATGATCGTTTGGCTGCTTACATCGAAAAAGTTCGTTCCTTGGAAATAGAAAACAGCCGCTTGTCCCTCCAAGTGCGCTCGTCCCAGGAGATTGTCACCAGGGAGGTGACAAACATCAAGTCCCTGTATGAAAGTGAGCTGGCAGATGCCAGGCGGCTTCTCGATGAGACTGCCAGGGAGAGAGCAAAGCTGCAGATTGATCTGGGAAATCTGAAGACAGAGAGGGATGACTTGGCCACCAAGTAAGCATATCAAATGTGTATTGTGTTTAATGTGAAGTGGCAGCATTGTACCTATACACAAAGATAACAGTTGCCATCAGATTATGTAAAGATGTCATGCATGTGTCACAGCATCATGTAAAGATGGTGGTCATAGTAAGTTACAGGTGTATGATTGGTCCTACTGACTTATTAAAATTGTATGATGTATAAGCACCTGTTTGTTTTCTAAAACTTTTTAGCATACAAAATAGCTTGTGTGGAATCTTAGTAAATTGATACACATCTGCAGTCACTGTCACATCATCAGTCACATACACATCTGCACCACATCTCAATACTATTTTTCTAAACCATCAGTCTTTGTATAGGTGAAGGCATTGTAGGTTTTTTTTGCATCAACGCCCTTGAGAAAATGTATTTTCACACTGCATCCATGTGCAAGAGGCAGCATAGGTGTATTAGAAACTTATGTGAAGCAAACTTGATATGCAGGAAGTATGATATGCCATATCTGCATTTTAAGGTTATTTTGTGCATGGCAACATGTTTTTTGAATGACTGAAGTTTCAAGTGCAGATAATCCTATGTTTGGTAAACCCTGCCTCATAACCTAAAACCTAAAAACTAGCATGTTCTCCATTCTTGCTATATGGACATAAGGGCTGTAAAACATATTTTTACTGTTTCATCATATCCCCCAGGTGGGTTTCTAGTACGTTAACTGACATTGGCATTGATAACTCATTGCACAAATGTACAACAGCTAAAAACATCCTGAAATATGTTCCCCTGTGAGATGCTGTGCTCGTTCCATTTAACGCTAAGTGCCTGCACACGCAAGCGAAAAGGATTCGATAGACAAAGAGAGTTGTTATTCTATTAAACCCATGGTACACGTAGGTCGGTCGGCCGCGGGGCGCCCGCCCCGCCCATTTCGCCGCCCATTTGCCCGCGGGCGGGAAAAGGCGGATGGGACCGCGATGGGCGCGCCGCCGGCGTCTTCAGTACATGCCGGCCTCCGCCAGACGGCAGCACCGGTACACGCGCGGGGTGGGATTCAGCCAAGTATCGGACGGTCGGCGTCGTTCCGCCTCGGTAGCACGGAGCGACGCGGGGTGCGTGGGTTGTTGCAACGGACGGATGTGGCCAAAGCCCCCGGGCTGGGCGTCGGAGGGGCGACGGTGGGCCGCGTGCGATCAATGTCGCACGGGCTGAGCGTGTCGCGCCGACCGCCGGTGAACTTCCTGAAGGCGACCCGCCCGGTACAAGCCAAGGCCGCGTCAAATATTGACCGAATACCGGAGATACAGCGAAACAGCCAGCGATAACTGTCCGTGTGCGTGGAGGCGGATCAGCCATGGCTGACAAACACGATAGCGGCGGTGCTCTGACGTCAGCCAAACCGCGGGCAGAGAGGGTTTATTGTTATTTATTTTTTACTATTTGTTGTTAATTATTTATTACATAGCGGGCTGGCTTGATACCAATAACCAAGGGGCGTGGTTTCGCCGAATGGATCGTGGGAGAATGGTCTGAACAGCGAGAACACGACTACCTGCCCCTGGAATGCCCCAGGATCTTTATCCGGTTTTGGCCCAACCTTTAGGTTGGGAGGGGGGGGGGGGGATTTCTGTCGAACCGAAGAGGAAAGAAACTGCACCCTTGCATTTGACCGACCCCGAAATGCTTTAGAACCCGTTGTGAACGTCGCATAACAGCTGCCTGGCGCTATGCTCGCTGAAGTAGCACACTGGAGGGACCCGCTTTCCCACGTAGAGAGTCGCATCGTAAGTGCAGTTCAAAGCACAGGGCCCACACTGTCGGCGACCTTGGCTTGGGACGAGAACGGAGGCGTACGCCCGGGGCTCCACGTGGCTTCCGCGCGTACGCCGACCACGTGGCTGATGCCCGCGCGTTGCGGTCGGCGATTCGCCATGGCTGGAGGTCGGCTTTGTGCCGTGCCACAGGGCCTTGAACTAGCGAACTGCCCAGCACATCTCGCTGCCAGTATTGGGTGCGACATCTTGGTCTTCATGGAATCGGTATCCGAAAGAGACATGGTGTGAGTAAGTGGCTTTTTCTGTCTGTAAAAGCACAGAATAAAGCAAGGCTCGAAAATTCGTACGCTGGGGTGTCAAGGATGTAAATATAAATTTATGCTACCGGACTCCTGGCTCTTCGGCCCCACATAGCGTTTCGCTCGCTTCTAAACTGTGGCCCTTTGACCTCCAGCCCTGACATTCTGCCCCGTCCGCCCGATATGCCAAGCCGAGAGGGGGGGGGGGGGGGCATAAATGCAAGGTTAACTGCCGTTGGGCTCGATGCTGATAGGCCAACCCTGAGCGAGCGGAGCGGAGAAACAACAGGCGGTGAACCTCGAGGCGCGGGTGCAGGATCATGAAAAACATCCACATTTTTTCTACAAGTGGCACAATATCATAGCACACATAGAGAAGTCGCGATATAGCGTACAGTTGTTTCAAGGTTGTGACGGATTAGGTTACTATTAAAGCTATTGTTATCTACTCAGCGGGTTCGTGGCCCCATGTGATGGCATCCGACACGTGCACACGCAAAGAATTACGTCACAGGAAAAATCCATTATCTCTCGCTTCTGGAATCTACCGAACCAGTTATTGGTGTTGTTGACCAGTGTGCGGAGGCGTCCACACGTTTATACATCGTGCGGGATATCAGTGCACCGATCTTTCAAATGAAAATATTTGGTTCACAGCGCTGAGTTCGCAGCTCGGTTGGGACCGTAACCAGCTTTTTCGTCAGCTAACTTGCGTGATGAATGGCGAACTCATTTTTGCATTCCAGTCGTCATAATAATTGCGCGATTGCCAGTCTGACTGCTATCCAGCCTCGTAGCAAAGCACGACGGCCTTCTTTGGAGTTGCGGTAGTACATCAGGGCTGCTCTGTTTTTGTACATGGCCGACTCTTATCTAAACCCCGGCTATCGATCCTGACCTGAGGTTTCAAATCCTCGCCCAGGAACAAGCGTCCGGCATTTGTTTCAGGATTGTGACGCAAATGCAGCCTGCGTGCCGCCAGTGACACGAGTGAGTTGTGATAACACAACACAACAGGCGACAACACGAGTTGTCCGCAAGAGCGAAAACGTTTACTTTATCGGTGATTAGGCTGTTACGAATGATGTCAGGCCTGTGTTGGTTAGTCTCGACACAGGTATTTCCTGTTGTTGCATGATCGTCGTAGGTAGCACACAGGTGTCAATTGTGCGTTGGTATGTCCTTGCATTGCGGTTTTCCGATACTGAACTTGATCAGCCACTCGGATCAGGCCATGAATATTGGAAAAGAGTTGTATCGTTTGCTCGCTCCACTCGTATCAGGGCCATGAATATTGGAAAAGGTTGTGTCGTTTACTCGCCCAGGTTTATAATGCGTTGACCTGCGGGGAGGCTTAGGGATATCAGCTCTATAAAACATGCGAAACATGTCTGAAAGTTTGTGAGCTCGAACATAACGGTAAATGCCATTGCCTGACTGAAGTGTACGATGGCAGCAGCGTTTAGCAAAACGACGTAATACCGTGCTGTGCATATCGCCATTTGTTTCGACGTTTCATTTTGTTTCGCTGAGGAGCGCATCGTGCTCGCGTGCGTCAGACGCCCGTGACTAGCCCTCGCACCGTACCCAGAGGCCCAGCGCTGCCACCTGCACCGCCAGGTGCCGACGGCAGGCGGCGCCACCTGGAGATCAAACGCGATGTGTGATGCGCCTCCTGACTGGGGGGCGTTGTCGATGCCCAGCCTCTGTCCCTGACGGGGTGGGGAAATTTGACTTGGGGACCCAGATTTCGAGTACTTTGTTTCCTTACTAGGTCAGATGATATTTTTGTTTTGTATCCACTTGCATCGTAGAGTCGAGTTAAAAGAACGCTTTTGCGTGCTAGGATAAGCATATCCAAGCAAAAGTGTCCTGGAGAGGCAAGAGAGAAACCGGAGATACACTTGATTCACTGACCATTCAATGACCACTTTTTGTGAGATCTTGGTGTTTGTAGGCCGTGAATATTGTCAAACAAGGTCAAGCTCTAGGTCACTGTTCGAGGTGCCTTCGGATGTCACGTCACCAGCCTCTTAAGCGGATTAAAACAATCAAAAGCCTTCAGCCTCGTTTTGAAGGTTGAGTTTGCGGTTGGCGACAAGTGCTGACCTAGGCGGCGTGCTCCTCGAAGCAAAATGTTGATCGAGATCATTTTATGCCAGTGACCTTCCCTGACCATCATCAAGCCGAAGGAGAGAAGTTTTTGTCGTATTCCAGAAGTTGAGCATTGAATGCAAATTCATAAAGCAAGTTTCCTGGTATAAGGCGATGTGGTTTTAACCTTAAGCTGACCTCCATACCTGATCCAAGGTCAATGGCATTGGAAGTGTTGTGACTGCAATAGTATTCAGTTCAACAGTCTTTTGTCTAATAAACCATCTCAAAGTTGTGGGACTTTGTCTAACAGTACGTTGATGCATCATTTTGGACCACTCCTCAGGGATTACTTTGCTGAGAGCCATGGCCTCATTTTGACCTGCCACAGATCAGCGACCTTACGAGATATATCTTATGATAATGACTATTCAATGGCTTACATCTTTACGAAGTTTTGCTCCGCTGTGCCTCGCCGCCCGGAGTTTTTTTGTGTGAAAAACCTTAGGCATCAAATTGACTCACGCCCGGGCGCGTGTTTGGCATGATGTCCGCTGTTACATCGAGCATTATCCGACTGCACGCTTTCTAGCGTCTGTCCCTTGATTTCGCTCTCTAATTACAAACACCCAAAAACGCGGTCACGAACGCTGTCAGACGCGCGACAGGGCCTCGACCTGACGTGACACCTTTGTTACCGCTCATTGCCGCCGATAAAGAGAATTTGCCCCACAGGTAAGACGCATAGGGAAAAGGTGTGCGTGAGCGCGTCTTTGTTGGGACGCCGTAGGGGTTCGGCCGTCTGAACGCTCCAACAGAGCGTGGCGTTGTGCTTGTCTTGCAGGCTGATGCGCCGCGAGCGGGAGCTGGAGAACTCCGAGAAACAGGTGAACCTGCTGGACGCGCAGGTTCGCAGCCTGCAGGACCGCCTCAACCAGGCTCTCCAAGAGCGGAAGAAGGCCCAGGATGACCTGAAGGTGAGGCCCCGGCAGACCGCCGGCCGTCATTGCCGGCCGTCGGCCCTCCAAGGGGCCGGCTTATGATCACTGTGGCTTAGCTCCGTTCAAGGCCGGCTCCTGGCTCACTGCACATATTTTCATGCGCCGGCTTTACGCTCGATGTGGGCGGATTTAAGCGGCGTGTGCGCTCGCGCGGCCGGAAGCGACGCATACTGTTCCATAGCGATGGTGGGCGCCGCTGACCGCCGCCGACAGGGGCGTGTGACGACCGCTGCCTCCCGCTACCCAGGAGTCGGAGCAGGACAACCTCAAGCTGCGAAAGCAGCTGGAGGAGGTGCGGAAGCAGCTGGAGTCGGAGGCGCTGGCCCGGGTCGACATGGAGAACCGCTGCCAGAGCCTCAAGGAGGAGATCGAGTTCAAGTCCAGCGTGAGTTGACCCTTGTGAACGGGATGCTGACGTTGGCGCACTCTCGGAGGCTGACGGCGCGCTGACCTCTGCCCTACGCCGTGGTGCGGAAATAGGGGCGGCAATGGTTGGTGTCCTTGCCGGTCCGGCCTGGGTCATTTTCTGACCTCTCAGTGTTTCGTTTCTGATCGTCATTGACTGCGTGATGTCCTACTAGCGCGACAAACAAAATCTGTCAGAAATTTTCCAACCACTATCATTGCATTTCGTCCCAGACTTAGGCAAGTCGACATAAACCACGTCGCCAGTGCTATGAGACACGACACAGGGTCGGTCACCATGGCCGTGACCGACGCGCGACCGCCTGGCAGATCTACGAGGAGCAGCTGACGGAGACCGCGCAGCAAGAAGACCGAGGAGATCAGCGAGCTGGACGGCCAGCTGCAGTCCGAGTACGAGGCCCGCCTGCGCGACTCTCTGCAGGAGCTGCGCGACCAGTACGAGATGCAGATGCGCGCCAACCGCGAGGAGATCGAGACCATCTACGAAAGCAAGGTGACCTGGTGTCCTGGCGGGGGGCCGCCGCCGCGGCTGGCGACGGCAGCTGAGGCGTTATGCTGGGGAGATGGTTGTGACAACTTGGCTGGAAAGTCATCGGTTTGGATAGCACGCGTGGATGTTGTCAGCGCCAACGCCGATTGCTATGCTCTCGAAGTGTCGCGAGTTAGTGTAGATGGGCGAGTTGGGCTCGTCGCCGAGCAGCTGTCCTCGCTGACGCTACGCCGGCACGGCCGTACGCCGGTGTTGTGGCCCTCTGGTGCCAGCCGTGCCTGCAGCTCTGTCCCGCTCCCTCCGCGTGCCGGCGTTGGTGTCGTCTCCCGGTGCCAGCCGCGTCTGCAGCTCTGCCCCGCTCCCTCCGCAGCTGGACGAGCTGCGCAGCGCCCAGTCGCGCAACCAGTCGTCGACGGCCAGCACGCTGCGCGAGCTGCGCGAGACCAGGGCGCGCATCGACGGCTTGCAGGGCAAGATCGGCGAGCTGGAGGGCACCAACACCACCCTGCTGGCGCGCGTGCGCGACCTCGAGCGCCAGGTGAGACGCCGGCCGGGCGATGCCCCGGTGGTCAGACGTGGCGGGCCACCGAGGACAGGACGCCTGATTGCTGACTGGCGGAATGTTTTGGATCGTCTGGGATTGGCGGCTCTGGGATGGAGCCCGCGTTGCTAACCCCAAAGAGGCGTTTTGTCGTTCATTCATGCAGGGAGCAAGTAATTGTCAAGCTGCTAAGTAATATATACTTGTATTATGTAATATATATATGATTTTTACATATGTATAATAATATAATATATAATAATACATAATAAATATAAATAACAAAATATATGTATATATATAATATATATATAATAATTTATAATTTTACCCTGGCTTGACCAAGCCGCAAAGTGGCCGGGCATTCCTGGTTTATGAAGGCTGGGGCGGATGAGTAAAACACATCTCTGCTCGGAATAATTGCCAGTTAGATGTCCCTCGTGGCGTTGGACGAGGCGATAACAGATTTGAGAGTTGTCAGCTGTTATGTAGGTGATGCCCAAAAACTAAGGTAATGGAGTCAGACGCCTGGGGCGACCGACACCAACAAATGTCGATGCTTCGGAAGGTCTCATGACAGTTAAGCAGGTGACGGCCCACCGATATAATATTCACCTACCAAGTCACAAAGAATTTGTTTGAACAGTTCCTTGGTATGAGCCTGGTTAGACTTGGCGATTTTCCACTTCTCGTAATGTAAGAGTTCGCGAGCTTTTTGGACGGATGGGCACGCTGCAAATATCTAGGACTCAGTACACTGCTTCGGAAGACTTACTTTCATCCCGACTGAAATGGCTGGAGTCAACCCCAGCAAACCGGACAGAACGTGACCGGCTCTATGGTGGCATGTGAGCGAGATGACCCCTGACCACCATGACCCGACCCTGCCAGGCCTGACCTGACCTGGCTCGAACCACTCCCCAGCTGGACGACGAGCGCACCTCCAGCGCCGCCATGCTGATGGCCAAGAACGACGAGATCCACCGTCTGGAGGAGATGATGCAGCACCAGCTGCAGGAGTACCAGGACCTGATGGACATCAAGGTGGCGCTCGACGTCGAGATCGCCGCCTACCGCAAGCTGCTGGAGTCGGAGGAGGCCAGGTAGGCGCGCGTCAGCCCGACCGCCCGGTGCGCCGGCGCCGCCCTGTTGTCAGGCTCCCCGCGCTGCCCTGTCGACGTGAGCGACCAAACCCGGGTGTGCAATATTGTTTGCACGCGAAAGTAACTTCCATTCTGTCCTCTTTCAATGTTTGTGGTCTTAGCACTTCAATTTATCATTGCACGGACTGGCTGTGACTGTTGCCTTAACACGAGGTTTCAGCACAGACTAATTAATTATTAAGGCTATTTCCCTGTGAATTGTGCGAGTGACCGCACCTCTACCGGGGAGGCGCGCGCTTCTGACCTCGGGGCTCGCGTGTCGGGCAGGCTGAACCTGTCGCCGGGCGGCCGGCACGTGGTGGGGGTGGTGGAGCGCGGCTCGCGCGCGCGCTCCACGCCGTCCGGCGGCCGCTCCGGCAAGAGGCGCCGCACCGTGATGGAGTCGGAGGAGGCCTCCTCCGTCGGCTTCGCCGTGGCCAACACCTGCCACGGCGACGTCGAGATCATCGACGAATGCCCCGAGGGCAAGTTCGTCAAACTGCACAACAAGTCAAACAAGGAGGTGGGTGAGCTTTGTAGGGTTAGTGCGGTATATTCAATAACACCCACCACCTCCACACATTCATTTATACTACAAGTGGCTGAAACTGGTTGATGCCAGCTGCTTGAAGCCATTCAGGATTATAGCAGTTTGAAACCACGTAATGGCTTAAGTCCCATTTCTGCCACCAGTTGCTGCACATCTGCCTGGTGCGCTGCGGACCGTGTGCGATGAGTTTTCCGTGCGCCGCCTGACACCTGGCGTCCCCCGCACGGCCCCGTCGCCGCTGACGGGCGCCGTCTCCGTCCGTCGCCACCAGGTGTCGCTGGGCGGCATGCAGCTGGTGCGCAAGGCGGACGACAACGAGACGGACTACAAGTTCCACCGCTCCATCAAGCTGGGGCCGGGCGAGGAGACCACCGTCTGGGCGTCCGAGGCCGGCCAGACGCACGACGCGCCGCACGTGCTCGTCATGAAGGGCCAGACCTGGTTCGTGGCCGATAAGATGACTACCACCCTGTTCGACATGGAAGGCGAGGTGAGCAGCGAGGCGGCGGCGACGATGTGTGGTGGGGGGGGGGGGGGGGGAGGGGAAGATCAGATCGGCTCTGCGGGCTTTCGATCTGTTTCTTAGCGCGGTTTTTCGTCAGTCCAGTTCGTGCCGCCTCTGATGATGGTGCTGTTAAGGGAAGCTGCTGACGTCCCTGGCCACTGCTGTACAGTGATCAGAGGCACAGAAGGATCTTATAATCCTCTGCTGGTTTTCTCGGCGTGCTGATGGTGTTTTGCTAGGTCTCCATTCCACCATTCACCGAACATGATATGACGTTCCTAGCAGCCATTCACTGCACGCGTGTTGTGTGCCCTGGTGTTGACTGACCACTTGTAAGCATTCTCTGTCGTCACGGACCGGGTGAATCCTTCATTAAAGTCTGGCCATTGATCTTCGCCTTTCGCGTCTGATGTTCGAAATTTCGTCATTGCGAATACGTCACTGGCTGGTGCATTGTTGGCTGCCAGTGACCGGTCGTGGCGTGGTGTTTTGTGGCGCACCGCCGGCTTGACGCGCGGTCTGACTGCAGGAGATCGCCCAGCGCGTCTCGCAGCGCGAGAACCGCTCGGCCAGCTTCTCCACACGCCGGCAGCAGACTCTGGCCTCCAGCTCCGAGCAGGTGGGTACCGCTTCGGCGGTCGGCGTGCGCTTCTGGCCCCCGCGCGCGAGCGGCCGGTCCGATGTACGGCGACGTGCGACGCGCTCTCCCGGCCTGATCGTGGCATTGTTTGAGCGTTTGGAAGGTGGTTAAGCCGTTGTCAGCGAGCTGTGTGTGTGTGCGCGTGGGGGCGTGTGCTGCAGACCGGAGGAGGCGCCGTGCCGTCGCCGGCTGGACGCCCCGCCCCCGTCCCCCGGCGGCGTGCCCGTCCGCGACCCCAGGGGCGCGTCTGCAGTGGCCCGTCCCGAGCTGAGAGTGGATCCCGTCATGCCGCCCGCCCGGCAGGTGGAGGGCGGTGCTGATGACTCGCGCGGCAGCGACTGGAGCCTCCTGAACATCTTCGGCGGCCGCCGCGCCCTGCGCCAGTAACCGGCCCGGTGAGCTCTGCTGGCTGGGGCGGGTGTCAGGTGCCATCGCTCGGCAAAGGGCACCAAATGTCGTGTTAAATGGCCATAATGGTCAGCCCCCGACCGCGGGTGCGCTGATCAAAGTAGTTCGTGTCTGGTGAATGCTCTACGGCGTTATCGAATGAGAGCGCGATTCAAACCATCAATTTGTTCCTGTCACACGTGCTGCTCGCTTCCCCAGTGTTTCACCATGCTCGCACCACTCGCTGCCGTCGTACAGGTATTGTGCGGGAGTGGCGTGAGCTGACCACGTGCTCGACTGACGCCGTGGCCTGTCGCTCCGCAGAGTCGGCGATCGACCGGCCGCCCACGGCGCCGGCAGCAGACCGCGCCAACCGGTCCCACCGCTCGTAGCACGCCTACTACGCCCGGCCGTCACTGCCAGCCCCCGGCCGTGAGCGCACCGCCACGCTGACAGGCCAGCCGACGGACCGTCCGTCTGTCCGTCTGCCAGCTGCTGCCAGCCGCTTCGCCCCGCTAACGGCGCGCGTTTCATCTTTTAGATGTCTTTGTCCTGCGTTGTAGTGACCGCTTCACCGCGAGTCCGGCGTTAGCGCCCCTCCGGTCGCTTGGTGCCCGCCCCGGCCCCCGCCGCCCGGGCGGGCTGGCTTGGTGCTGCCTCTGCCTCCGCCTCCGCGCGCGCGCGCTGCTCGTCATCCGTGTGTACGTCATCACCCGCGCGCCCATATTCCCGCTGAGGATATGTACAAAGTTTGACCGACCCTCCGTGGTCTGTAGGTGTAGGTGGTGCTGGGGAAGCCGCGGCCCTTCCCCTCTGGCCTGTCGGGGGCGACCGCTGACCCCGTCTGACCTGTCTGGAGAGGCCAGTGGCGCCTCTCGACTGGACGGGGGGAAGGGTCGCGGCCAGCCGACACCCAGCGGCGGTGTTTTATTTTTGTATCACCAGTCCGGGCTCGTCTGGAGGATATATAGAATAAACGTTCTAAATCCTGCTGGTGTTTGAGTCAGTGCGCAATGGCCAGCGTCGAATGCGACGGGCGATATTTCTTTGATACGCGATGACGCCTTATTTGGCACAAGACATTGCCGAGTTCATCCTGAGACGCTAGGACTCCTGTGACGTGGGAGGACATCGCGCCAGGAATTGGCTTCGGCGGGACTCGGCACACTGGCAGGAAAACAGGAGCCGCATATGTACGTAGCTGTATTTTTGACGAACAAAAACACAGGAATAGATCACGAACAACAACGCGAACCAAGTACGTTTACAGTGGACGCTTTCCAAGGCGACAGCGTACGCACCAGGGGCACTGTTCGCCGTCGGCCAGCGCCTCCGCCACTTCTGTTGTGCGGAGGCCCGGGGCAGGCACGCCGGCCTGGTAACAACCGTCAATGTTATAACCCTGAATTGCACAACTCTGACGAAGTCACAACGGATGAGCATCTGGCGGTGCGGGGTCCACGGGCAGCGATCACCTCCGCGCATCGACCTCCAGCCCATTCATCACACACTACCAGCCCCGCGTCCCGCTGGTCGCCCTGCGCCCGCCGGGTCGGCGACTGGCCGACGCGCCGCCGCCGCCGCCGCGGTCGGGCGCAGGCAGTCTTTGGTGGCCTCTCGGCTGACGGAACGCCGCTCACGGGCGAGCCGAACACGCAATGATGGAATGAGCTCTATCTACAGTCGATGATGCTTTGCACTGGAGTACGAAAATAAGTATCAAAAGCGGCCCACCGGGCGGCCTAGGCGACTATTTGTGAAGCATTAGAAGCTTCCTCTTTGATTTAGACTCCTTAGTTCTTTGCGACTCGGCGCTGGCAGCGTCCTTCTTAGGCCGCAGGACGAAGTTTAGGTCATAGGCCGTGTTGATCGCATAGTAGACGTTGCAGTTCGCGGGAACGACTTTCTCTGAAACGGGACGGACAGCTGTAAGTCTAATAATGGGCCATCTGGCGCCGCGAACTTACCACAGCTTGAGTCGAAATCACCCACAGTCAGGTTTTTGGTACCTCTTTTGTACTCAACAAGCAGTGAGTCGAATCCTCAGCACGTCACATTTATAATTTTTATTGCATTTTTTTCAAAAGACCTGAATGCAAACAATGCTAAAACAGCACCAAAAATACCAGAAATCACAGCCACCAATCACAGCCAGGAGTATCATGGAATTTTCTACCTTCCGTTGTTTCACATCACAACTTTAAGGTACTCGGTCCATCGTAAGCATTATAAGCCTGTCCACCCGCCGGAACTAACCTCCATCGGGTAGCAGCTGCGCCAGCACGAAGTCGTCGGTGTTGCCCTCGATGTCGTGCTTGATCATGGCGTTGCGGATGACCTGCGGCGTGCGCTCGCTGTTGCTCAGCATGATGGACTTGTAGAGGTTGATGCCCTCGGTCTCGTGCGCCGCCGTGCGGATGGTGACGCGGATGATATAGAAGTCGGGCGTGATGTACGGCGAGCCCGGGTCCGCCTTCTGCTGCCAGTCGGCCGGCTTCCGCGCGCTCTGTTGCGACTGGTTGGTGGCCGATGACGTCACCGAGGCGTCCAGGGACGGCACTGAAGAGCTGCTCGAGCTGGTGGACATCTGGGACCGAGCAGGCCGGGTCAGGGGTGCGATGCAGCAGGCACGCACGTCTCACACTCCGACAGGCTTTCCGACAGCGTGATTAGAGGGCGGGTCATGAAACACAGCTTTCGGTCGTAGACAGGGACGCTGACACCTCAGCAAAAACAACTAGAATATGTGAGTGGAAAATAATGAACAGAAAATAACTGTGATCCAAATAATCTTGGTCCTCGTGGAACCTCATGGCAACCGTTCCGACCGAGGCAGCGCACTAATCGAGCAGCAAGAGTGACATCAGCTTCCGGCGCCCTCTACCGGATACATCCGAAACCGGACCGGCCTGCGAGCCCGGGGGGCGCGGCGGCGGCGGGCGACGTAGCTGGAGCCCGGGGGACGCGGCGGCAGCGGGCGACGTGGCTGGAGTCCGGGGGGCGCGGCGGCAGCGGGCGACGTAGCTGGAGCCCGGGGGACGCGGCGGCAGCGGGCGACGTGGCTGGAGCCCGGGGGACGCGGCGGCAGCGGGTGACGTGGCTGGAGTCCGGGGGGCGCGGCGGCAGCGGGCGACGTAGCTGGAGCCCGGGGGACGCGGCGGCAGCGGGTGACGTGGCTGGAGCCCGGGGGACGCGGCGGCAGCGGGCGACGTGGCTGGAGCCCGGAGACGCGGCGGCAGCGGGCGACGTGGCTGGAGCCCGGGAGACGCGGCGGCAGCGGTCGACGTGGCTGGAGCCCGGGGACGCGGCGGCAGCAGGCGACATGGCTGGAGCCCGGGGACGCGGCGGCAGCAGGCGACATGGCTGGAGCCGAATAATTTGCCGGCTGTCGGGCGGCTGCAGGCACCGGCGCATCGGGACAGTGGGGGACCGACCGCGGGGAGGGGCCTACTCACCACGCTGGCGTGCCGCTCCAGTGAGCCGCTGCTCTCGTTCGGCGAGCTGACGCTATCCATCTCGCCCAGGAACTGGCTGGACGAGCTGCTGGACGTGCTGGCCAGGCTGTCGTGCTTCTTGTGACCCAATCTGTGGGAGGGAGGCCTGAGCTCAGCACGCTTTTTCGGACCGTGGACGGACGTGGTCAGCAAGGTGAGGCCTCAACACTGGGGCCACGCCTCAGCAAGTAAATGCACGTGGTCACAGATGACCTGCAGCACCTGCGATTAAGCTCCATATAGCTAAAAAAAAAACATAGAAAAGTGGCGAGCTACGGCACATAAAAAGGCTTGTTGCACCGCCTGGCTTTCCACTGTGAATCACGAGAAGCCGGATACAGCGTATCGCAACGACAGAGGGCGGACATATCTTATCCGACGCGGTTGTCATTGTTAGCGTGACTAAGATATCACCCATGCGACAAACACGATAACAGTTTGTTGCAACCGTTATCGGAGCGACGAGGGCAACACCGACGGTAGAAATGCACGATCTTACAGGCACCGGCACTAGTCCAGATGTATGAGTACTGGCCTGGAACCGACAACATTTCACTGACATCGGTGATGGTACCAGCTCTCGATGCATTCAGCACGATTCGGAATATCAGTCCGTTAGTATAAAGCCTTCGGTGAGTAGGGCATCTTGATGTATCTGATTGTTTCTGGAAGGTTTCCTACTTGTAGGGCGTCTTGTTGCATTTGGGTTCAAAATGCCCGCCAAGCCCCATGCTCCATGTCTGTTTCCCGCTTCGACGCTGTGTAGTGGCCCGTTTCTCTTTCCCTCTCACCCAAATGCCAACTCCGCCCTCCACCGCCTCCGCCGGACGATGCCCCCCGGCTAAAATTCTACGTTACCGCGCTCACTGTCACTGCCTCTGTCCAGCTTTCGTCATCGTGGCTTCGTTTCTCTCCATTCAGTCCAGGTACTCACTACCTTCCCATCGGGCTTAGCTGTCACTTTCAACCCGAGGGCATTTAACACGGGTGAGCGTTTTCGAATGCCGGTTAAGTTCCAGTACGATCAGCACACGCGTTGCTCCGGTGCCGCCAGTACTAATTCAGTGCCGGCTATCAGCAGTGGGGTACCCAATTATGCACCATATACGAAACCTAACATCCAGTTCAGCATTTATCTTCAGTACTTCAATTTAAGGCCATCAATTTCTTCATAAATACAGATAATGCAGAATTATTATCCATTTGCTGAAAGTAGCAGAAGCTCAGAGACGCGCACTGAAGAGCTGAAGCACGCATTCACGATAACCAACACATCCCTACCATAGACGAGTCACAAAGCAGGCATTTCGCCTTAGGCAACATAGCTCTACCCCTCCCCTCCAGCTTAACCAAACCGAAGGTTTCTATCGCGTGTCTACATAGCTACGTGGCATCGGTCTTCCGATCGATGCTGATCCAGCGTGCTCATCAACTTTGCGCGAAGGTCACACGCTTTGTGTAAACAGCCGGTATAGTGTCAGACATAATGTACGTTAGCATCACGAAAACGGAGCAATCGAGGGAAACTAGTAACGCCGATGGGTTGTTGGAGGTGGCGGATCAAATGCATGGTGCATGGGACGTAAACAGGGTTACTAGAAAAACGGCCACCACAAAAGCCGCAATTTGATACAAAAGACTGAGCTGGATGCATTAGATCTATCGTAGGTTAGCCGAAATCACGCAACATTTCGTTCACACGCGAGGATGTCGCTGCAGATTGAAATGAAGGTGAATCTTTGTGTTATCCGCGGCACTTAGAACCACATTTAGTGGCCTCCAGCCCTTCCTTGCATTTTCTCAGGTCCCTTGGTCCTTGGTATGTCGATCTATCACTGGCACGCGCTTTCACAACTGTTCGCTGGGAAGAGTAATAAACCCTGAAACTGGGGTTGGTATAGCTGGCTGGAAATGGTTAGACCGCAGATTTTTAGCCAGTCACCCTCAGATTTCCTGCAGCGAAACTATAAACCTCATTTCAAAAGCATTAACCTTCCTTTTGTGAAAGCAGCGCAGGCGTTATCACAACAAACCCTGGCTACAGCCTTGCACTTGCATCCAACCCGTCCGTAATCTGCTGCATCAGAGCAGGCCACGGGGAACGCGGCCCCGGGCCGGGCCAGCACTCGAGGCTGTCCGACGGGTTATCGTATCGATCGGACACGGCAGGGTGTGGTCGCCAGCCTCTGGCCAAGGTGACCGACCTGCTGACACGAGCTAGCCAGCACCCCGTCCCCCCCCCCCCCCCCCACTCATCCTCGTTCCACCCACGACGTGTTCAGTCATATGCATCCCATCACGGAACGTTGGCCAGGGATGAAGTGGATGCTAATACAGTATCGTGGAATAGGTTAAATGGGTAGGGCAGAAAATAACTTTGTGGCAAAGGCACAAGCCGTAGGACTATTCGAACGGCAGGGTACCAAAACCAAATAGACCATGTCAACCAAGGAACAAAATGAATCAGACAACTTCAAATGAAAGCTACTGAAGCGTTGCATTGCGCAAAACGAACAGTGAATTGGACCGACTGAATGCCGCTGATGAGCCGTCAGAGCCGCTCCCACTCACAACAGGCGCGCACCCACGCACAGGGCACGGCCGGACGCGACATTGTTGCGTGGCACTCCGAGAACCGCGGAATCTTTCTTGAGGCCTGCGCCGGACGGCTTACGGCCGGAGCTCTGCCGGGAGCCGGGTGCTGCTCGTTACCGGCGAGCCAAACAATTGCGAACAATGAGCCGCCGGCCGCCGGAGCGGCAGCGCGCTGATCTTACGATAGCACGCGACGCTCAGAGGCCCCGCCGCCTGCGCGTCGACAGGTGATGACTAATTACACTGAACTTGTTTTTTACCTCACTGCAATTAACATGACCGTAATTTACGCGGGCGGTGGATCACAAGACAGGTCAGTAGCAGAAAAACATTACCCGTAAGCAAGCGCACGCCAACAAATGGCACTTGAGCGTGGGTGCGTGCGCGCGCGCGTGTGGGGGTGTGGGCACACGCCCACCTTGTTTTTATGGCTATTAGCCACATTGTCCTGCAGTGAGACAGAGGTCAGGCCTGACAACTCCCGGGCCGGGGTAAACGCCACCTACGGATGGGTGAAGCGTGGTCTGGTCTAGTCGGGAGACCCCACTCAACCCACGCGCTGACCCGGATAACAAATTCATACGCATTCGTGCAAGTGAGCGCATGCTGAGGCACATAGATGTACAGGTGGGCCATGCTGGCCTCACGCCTGGCACTAGGACGGTCGAGGTCACACCAGCCGGTACTCACGCGACTTTCTTCCGCATGATCTTGTCGCGACTGGAGCCGCTGCCGCTGGACGTGCTGCCGTACGGCTCGATCTGGTAGCTCAGCTCGTACGCCTCCTTGTCGTCCAGCACCAGCACCGAGTCGAACCAGCGCTCGAACGGCCGGTCGCGGGCGATGCTGTACGCGTTGCTGGCGCCCTGCAGCAGCTTGATCTGCCGGTGCCGGCGGCGAGGCGTCAGTGGCGCGCCGCCCAGCCCTGGCGACGTCGCTGAGTCACATCAGCTGTTTGTGACGTCACCGATCGGCGAATCAATGCCGGTGAGTCGGCGCAGTGTGGCGGCGCGGCGTGGGAGCGCGCCCGGCACAGGCACGGTATCGGCACTGCCGGACGGGCGAGCCTGGCGCCGGCGGTGACGTGGCGCGGAAGGGTCCCCAGACTGACGCCCGCGCCACACGCAAGCGCTTCTCGCGCGCTAGTGGACCTGGAGGGCGAACGCACGAACGCGTGCACAGTTTCGATCGATGCCGGTCCGGCGGTCCGTGGCCGCACGGTCTCCCGGTCGACGGCTGGCGGAAGCAGGGCGAATAGGGCTGCTCCGTGGTGGTGATGTAGCGGCGCTGGGTGTGCGTGTGTATGTGTGTGTAACTAAGGCAACCGATCCGAAGCAATGGAGGTTCTTATCAACCATCATAGCCTCATTGACCGGTGCAAGGTCATGTTTACGAATGAACAGAATCGGCCGAGGCGTGAGGACAGGGGTGGGTACAGGATTTCTTCAAGGGAGGTGTCACGCTTCATGGTGGTGCACCCTGGAACTTGGTGCCCCCTCTCCCCGTCACAAAGTTGTCCCCAAATTTCGGCCCTTTCTGTTCAGATTCTTATGTTGTAATCCGTAAAATATCTTCCACCGGAATGGTCTGCCGGATTCAGTCTAATGCATTTTTAGAGGCCAATTTGGTAGTTTTTGAAAATAAAGGTTATGTAAGCTCGAAATGAGGACTTTAGTGCCTCCAAACATGATATTTTGTGCCACTTCCGCCCCAGGGGCATGTCCCCTCCCCCCGTCTAGACCCGCCACTGCGTGCGGATGAGGTACCACAAGCATCGTCACATGTTTGTCTGCCTTCGCCTTCGTGGCCAGTTTTTTTCTGGCCACGCCACCAAAGCCAATCGCGCGCCCGTTACCTGGGAGTCCCGCGGCCAGCGCCGCGCCACCCCAGCACGCGGCGGCAGCCGACTGACCTGCGCCAGGACCTCGAACTGACCTGCGCCAGGATCTCGAACTCCTTGCGCCGCTTGTCGAAGTTGATGAGCCCGTCGGCCGTGTAGTCCGGTATGCCGGCGTGGATGTACATCAGGTCGGTGAGGAAGGTGCCCAGGTAGGGGATGGTGCCGTGACTCACCTAGAGGCGGCACAGGTGGCGCACACGATTGTCACACGCCGCACCAGCCGCACATAACTCACCAGACGCCGGCGCACAACATCTGCTGGCATTCCGCCGGGGTCAATGACCCGTCGCCGCCGCACAGGCGGCATTGTCACAGTCGCACACTGCTGTCGAATATCGATTACTTCCCTGTTCAGTACTTTATGACGTCAATGGCACTGCGCAGCATTCGCTGCCTGGCAGGGGATATGTCTGCTGTTTGCTGCTTTATAACGATGAATGGCAAAGGCGCAGCATTGATTGCGTTGCGGGGCGAAGCGATATTGGACAACGCAGTTGACGCACCCTCGAGCCAAAGCGACGATCATCACCCCCCCCCCCCGCCCCCTCCCACCCTTCATGCTGTGACTCTAATGACATCAGAAACGTACCCTCGAGCCAAAACGATGATCACTGCCCTCGCCATTCATGCCGAGGCTCTAATGGCGTCAGGGACGTACCCTCGAGCCAAAACGATGATCACCACCTCGCCGTTCATGCCGTAGTTCTAATGACGTCGGGCCTCCACTCACCGTGTGGTTACACGCGTTCCGGCTGTGGTACTTCTGCAAGTGTTTGTCGTTCTCGCCGAACGCCTCGGCTCGCTTGGCCGTGCCCTCCTTCATGAGCAGCTCACGTTGGTTCAGCATGTTGTTGGCGTCGCTGAAGATCCGCGCTAGCTCGTCGAACAGCTCAGACTGCGACGGCCACAGACGGGAGTCAGGGGCGGGGCGTGGAGCCGCGCAAAGGGCGTGCAAAGCTCTAACTGGGGAGGGCAGGGATAGAATCAGAGAGATTGTTGGATCACAGGGAGAGCGTGTATAATTCCGTCTATCAACATCTGCTGGACATCACGTCATCCCCAGTGGACGACCAGGGAGAGAGTCACGGTTCACGGGGTCACATAGAGCGTGCGGAGCTCCCTCCTGAGTTGGGGGAAGGCGGGGAAAGGGGGAGGGGAGGCAGCAACTGAAGACGGTTCAACCTCTTTCCGAGGGTCAGACAGCACGCTCCAGTGACCTCAACACCAGCGAGGTCCTGCAGTCTCACAGCATCTGAGCCACCGCGGGTTACAGATATGAGGTTGCTGGTGAGATCATAAACCAACCAATAAGACATCAATTATGCAAGTTTTTGCTACCGTTAGACGCACACATAACAATGGAGCCATTAAGAGCTGAAAGGATCAGCTGTGCTGCCTGAAGAGAGCTGGCCCTCTCACCTTGTCCCTAGAGAGCGCGATCCAGGTCTGCTTCAGCCGATACACGGGGTTGGACTGCAGGCCAGAAATGATCGCTTTCAGCGAGGAGAAGTTCTTCAGCATTCTCAACTCCTGCAGACGAAAGATGGCGAATATTACGGATGAGCCATTCATCATAATCCTGGTCTCAGTTGCGCCACAGGGATCAGCTAAGCAGCACACTAACGAACAAAGAGCAGCTCACGGCAGTTTTGCGACGATCAGGGCTGTGCGAGGCATTGCTTCAATTCAAACCTGTTCCCGCCGTCATCATCACTGAAAGTTTTGTATCGCTTTCCCCGCTGGCGGGCTTCACAATTTCCTTGCACCTATTCTGCACGAAGTGAGTCGCGAAGGACGCGGCGTTTAACTGGCGATCCGGTGGCCGGTTGAGTGCGATGTGCCCGGGTTGGGGGGGGGGGAGTCAATTAGACCCCTCAGTCTCAACAAAGGAAGAAGGCTAGGCACCCAATTAAGAGAGTAGGTGAAGCTCCATGTCAACTCACTTGTATAAAATTTTAAGCTCCATGGGTATGACCTACTGGTTAAGTGAGATCAAAGAAGGTCAGCATATAGATTGCTGTCAAACAAAATGCTACAGACGGCCATATCAGGTCAAGGGTAACATTCAACTTTTGAACGATTAAAAAACGAAAACCTTCGGGATTATTTTGACATTTTATGTTACAATCGCCGCCCACATACTAATCTTAACGGTATGCCCCTCAAAGCAAACGGTTATTAAGGTCGTTATAGGTCAGTGACCTCTCCTGAGCTTCATGAAGTCAAAATAAGAAATCTGACAGTATTGCGATTCAATAAGTCAAATGAGCATGAAAAACTACTCCATAAAGCAAATTTTCCAGTATTAGAGCGGTTATATATAACAGATAAAGTGACCTCTTCTGACCTTCATGAAGTCAAAATAAGAAATCTGACAATGTTGTGATTTAATAATTTAAATGAGCATGACAAATTACTCCACATAGCAAATTTTCCAGTAACAAAGCGGTGTGGTTTTGACCTTGACCTGAAATTCATACTTGACCTAAGATTAATGCAATTTGTCTTAATCCTCATTTCAATAGTCTGGCTGACTACGACATCATCCCTAAGTTGTATGAATTTGCCGAACAGTCTGTTGTCCCGGCATATTGAACAAGCCTGTTGGACTTGCCTACGCTGACAGCCATGTCCTGACTTTGACCTGACATGGGTCGGCAACTTTATGAGGCATATGTAATTTTGAATATCCAGGGATCGGTTATTGAACTGCCTTCAGCTGCACAAATATCGGCGCAGCTACCCCGCGCCATTCATAACTACTTATGGAAAACCTGCCGGGAGGAAGTGGGTAAAATTGACCTCCACCCAATTCACACGCACGCTAATGGAGAACATTGATTACGTCAGTGTGACATATTGATCCAAAACAGGGCATTTGTGGGAACCCTGAATGACTGTCAGGAATGGCAAATGCGTTAAGGAAATCAGAACACGAAGTATTACACGCCAACCAACTACCTTTCAAAAAACATCCCCTTCGCACCCTGCCCTTTCACCGTCCTGACTGCCCTGGGTATCCGTTATTACCACAAAACCCGCATAATTTCCTTGCACTTTCCTTCCCAGCACTCCACGAAGAGCAACCGTTGTCGCAGCGCGCGCACCTGAGCGATGTCGATCCACCTGGCGAGCAGCTTGGCGCGCTGACTGTGCCGCAACGTCGTGTCCATCAGCATGGTGGAGATGACGCAGAACGAGACGGCGTTGAACTGGTCGACGGTGGCGGCCACCGAGGAAGCGTCCACGCCCTTTCGCTTGGACCAGATGGAGCCGAGACACTGGTGCGGGATCACCTTCTGGAACAGGTCCTGCGGCGGACAGGGTGCCGGTCATCATGCTGGGTCGGCGCGGCAGCCAATGCTGACCACTTGCCGCAGAGGGAGGACGAGGACATGACGAGGGACAGCGGTGGCATAACCACAGATGTGTCGGGGCACGAAACAAAATCGTGGGACCAAAACCTCTGCTCATTCACGCGACATTCCTTTCCTCTGGCAGTACTGTGGCGCGTTGATTTCTACAATTAAAAAAAAACTTTTACAAAACGATGCGCCACAATAGTCCCAGATAACAGTTATGGCGCTTTGGAATGATCGAGGACGAGAAAGCTCTTGCCGGGCACGGCTGTCATGCACCTATTGCAGAATGCGTGATAAAGCCTGTAACAAAACGCCAGTTCTACCCAGAACACCGCCGAGACGACGCTCGAAATGCAAATGGTCCTCATAAGACACCCTTGTTTTGGGGCTGGAACAGGAACAGCTCAGCCAGCATAGCTTACATCCGCCACATGTGAGAGATGCAAAACCTCCCTCTGACCCACGGTCCTCCACTTCTTGTGCGTGTCAACCCCAGCTAGACTTCTTGCACGTGTCGCCCCCAGCCGAACCATCAGCGACGACCACCGGCGGCGGACCGGCCGACAGACGGCTGCGGCGCGCCCCTGGGCCCACCGCAGTACCCACCGCGTCCATCCTGGTCAGCTGCTCAGCGAACCGCTTCTCGGAGATCTCCTGGAAGGTGAGCGGCGGCACTTCCGACTGCACTGGACTGAGACAGCGCACCTCCTCCGTCGAGAGGATCCGTTGCAGCATCGGCGACGCTGCCGGTCAGCCAGCGCCGTCGGTCACGTGGGGTGCTGACAGGCGGCGAACACGGACAAACGACACAGCACGGGTCACTCGCGGTCACAGGGTCTGGTGCAACACACCCGAGGTCACAAGAGATGCGATGTATTGCCGACAGCGACACAATACGTGAATGTGACGCGACCCGACGCGGGAGGTTTTCACGCTGAACACTGCAGCTGAAAGACAAGCCATCTCTTTCTGACCCATGTCCAGCATCGGGAATACCGTCCGGACCTCAAACAAACAAAATCTCCACCTCGTCCCGTGCATAGAGCCGCGGCGATTACCTTTAATCTCCTCCTCCTTCTCAAACTTCTCGAGCTTGTGTTTGACCTTGAGCTCGAGCTCCGACGTCTCTGGTCGCAGAGCGCGGCAGAACTCCAGGATGCGGTGCATCAGGGGGTAGTCCGGGTGGTCCCGGAAGTCAGCCGGGTATGAGTCCAGCCACACCATGATCGCCAGCCGCAGCGACCTGGCGCGGCGAGCAGAGCGCGGCGTTAGTCGTGCCCGCTTATGGGGTCGGGACAGGCGTGCCTTCCCACTCGCGGGCTACGTCACGGGCCGTCAGAGCCGTGCATAATCGCGTAACAGCGGGGTGCAAGGCAACAGCGTTGCATCGCTGCAAAACTGGTTGTCGGTAGTTCACTCCAATACAGTGCACTCTTGTGTTTGAAATTTTGATTGCAAATTACAGCGTTTCGTGTACTTTTTATTGTTTTTGATGACCGGATGTGAGTCAGGGCACACTGCATTCGCTAGCAACACCAGATAAAAGTCGACTCATGCCTCCCTCCTCGGTCATGTGAGGCTCTGGATGCGATGAGTCATGTGGATGCTGCGCGTGCAGTCTTTTCTTGGTACTTCTAAAACGCGGCGCAATTTTATCTAGTGACGCGGCATGACACGCATGCTAGGGTAAAGCTGATAATTCGGGTGGCGTTTGAAAGCAATGTTCCACATTGAAAGATATTGAAGCAAGCATGAAACATTGTGATATAAGCTCACTTATAACTATCTGTTTATTTTTCAGTTAAAAAAGAGATATGCTCACAACTATTTGTTTACGTTTTAACAAAAAACTGCTCTATGCAAAACAATTTCTCTGTTCAGTAAATACGCACCTCAATACGCCATCGTTTGATTACATCATCATACCTTGCACAACACCGATTGAGAGCCAATTGACGGCCGTTATGTCTGGAAATCGTGCTCACGAGCGTCAGATATAAACGGATCGACAATTATCTCTTTCTGGGCTTGATCGCCGCATGGCTAATGAAATGACACAATTTAAATGACACTCTGGCGTCAAAGGTGCCTCGGTGACTTTGAAATAGCCTCCCAAAATAGTCCGCACATTTTCGCGGGTACGGAGCTCAGACACCAGAGGGCACTTGGCCTTAGGAAGGACAGGGTTGTTAACAGTACCGAAAGGTCTTCAAGATGGCTTCTTCAGCTCGAAACCCCATCTAAGTGCGGAACACTCCATTACAGCGGCTAGTGCAATATCCTGCCGTCTGGATCGTATATCCTAAACTCATTACACATGCTCTGCGCATTGCAACTTTGCATCAATGGACCTACCACTGGACCCATAGGCCGCGGTGCAAATAGTATGAAGACAACCACTGAAAACGCCCTTGTCTGCACGGGAGTGCTGCAGTGGTGATATTGGTACCTGTTCGGCGCAGTGGTGAAACCAGCACACTTGGTATGACGCGCACCCCACTACGTTTGGTGAGAAGTCACGGAATCGACGTGTTCTTGAAATCGTGCCTGGTGCTGATTTCATGAGAACATACCCAAATAGGCAAATAAGACAGCCACGCCCAAATATCCCGATGCCATTCAGATTTGCGTTCTCACCGAAGAGGTGTAGGCATGCACATATTAAGGTGTGCCTGCGGTCGGCCACTTGAGCAAATGTTTCATTGGCGGACATGTCATAGACAGCAGTCGTCAATGAGACTATTCAGACACCAAGTAGCATGCAGAATGGCCTCGTTGCCGACGCACTCACTATTAAGCCACAACCATCACCTGATTGGTGATATCAATACCGGCCGAATAAGGGGTTCAGCGACGATAGTGCGAAGCAAACAATCTCGCAAAACCCCAAACGGAAGGCGCTGACAATCGTATCAACAGTTGCCCTAGCCGTGAACAAAACTGCAGATTTCGGCGGACCGCACGCCGCTAGAAACTGTCTCACGGCATGGAAGGCTAGATCTGAACTCGTCCGAAGGCCCACGTGAGTAGAGCGCCGATTCCGACCATGCCATTAGATACACCAACACAGCAGAAGCAGGCGTCGGATACGCTTTCAGTGACCAGCCATGCGTGGTGGCTGTGACCCTCGGGTCTCGACCCACGAAGCGTGCGGCGGCGACCTACTTTTTGTGCTCCTCCGGATTCGGTTCGTCCGTCTCCTCCTCGCTGAGGTTTCGGTACCTGCAATCAGTGGCATCTCATTAGCATCTGTATGTCGTTCACCGGTTCGGTGGAGAGCGTCTCTAGCCAGCCGTGTCGCCGACAGTTGGCCGTGACCTGTGACGTGATCACGCCAGTTGGCCGTGACCTGTGACGTGATCACGCCAGCTGTCCGTGACCTGTGACGTGATCACGCCAGCTGGCCGTGACCTGTGACGTGATCACGCCAGCTGGCCGTGACCTGTGACGTGATCACGCCAGCTGGCCGTGACCTGTGACGTGATCACGCCAGCTGGCCGTGACCTGTGACGTGATCACGCCAGCTGGCCGTGACCTGTGACGTGATCACGCCAGCTGGCCGTGACCTGTGACGTGATCACGCCAGCTGGCCGTGACCTGTGACGTGATCACGCCAGCTGGCCGTGACCTGTGACGTGATCACACCAGCTGGCCGTGACCTGGGACGTGATCACGCCAGCTGGCCGTGACCTGTGACGTGATCACGCCAGCTGGCCGTGACCTGTGACGTGATCACGCCAGCTGGCCGTGACCTGTGACGTGATCACGCCAGCTGGCCGTGACCTGTGACGTGATCACGCCAGCTGGCCGTGACCTGGGCCGTCGTTCGGTGTGCGCTGGCCGACGGTCCAACCTGAGACTGTTTGGTGGGTTCCGACCGACAGTCCACGCGAGACAGTTCGGTGAGCTCAGCTGACAGCTGACCCGAGGCCGATCCATAAGCTCTGAACGACAACCGTTCTTCAGACCGATCGGTAAACTGCCGACAACCAAACTCAACAGCGTCTGGCAAGTACCGACCAATAGCCCAATATGAAACGGTCTGGTAAGCTCCGCCCGAGACCCGAAACAATCGGGTACGCTCCAACCAAAAACCTGTAACAGGATTTGAGGAGCTCTGGCCGCCATCCTTGACCCGGGGAGAGACGTTTGAGAACCCCGAGGCTGGCGATGACACCGCGGCCATTCTCCCATCCCTGCGGGTGACGTGAGGTCACCAGGCGACGACCCGCACGACCCCGGCGATGTGGCGGTCTGAGACTACGGTGTAATTCATTTAACCATACAGTGCAGTTTCTGTGCTACAGCCCTGACGGCTAACGGCTGACAGGCGGACTGTAGCGATGGCAGTCAACGGCAGACGGCTGACTGGGAGACAACAACGCTGCGCTCTGATTTAATCCACCCCAGCGACTTCGTGCCTCGATAGGAACACAGCCTCGCGGTGACCCGGCCGGCCTCGTGTCCTCACAGTAATTGGGAGACGAGTGCCGACCATTTGTACGGCTAACGCTTCGTCGCTGTCCCAGCGCACACATTGGAACAGGGCGACGACTGCTTGCGGAGGCTCCGCCGCCACACGAGGGCCGCCCCGGAAGGCCTACGACCCGGAACTCTGACGGCCACTCCGGGAACGCAGACCTCGAGCTCCATTAATCGTCCTCCAAAATCTCAAGCGCTTGCCCAGCGCGGGAACAGGTCGCCACGGTGCGTGGTAACATCGCCACTTTCCTGTTAGCCTTCGCGATTACACAACGCTTACTGTAGGAACAAACTCGATACAGGGCAAGCTGAAACAAACAGCTTCTAACCTGACATAACCTCTGATGCGAGCCACACAATACCCAGACTCGGGCAGCTTCCAGCCGATGACCGAAGGAACCCTCCATTCAGTATTGAAGTCACCCACGCGGCGGGACGCTTCGCGAGCACCGCAGCCCACCCACGCCCGGCGCCGGCCCTGCCAGCCGGCGTCACCGGCGTCACGATGGTGCCGCCGCTGCAGCCTCCGGGCCGGCTCAGCCGGGCGAGAGGCCGGGGTCGGCGGCCGTGGCCGCGGGCGGCCGGCCCGGCCGAGGCGGCGCCCTTTCACGGGCCGGCCGCGCGGCGTCTCAGGGTCGCGCGCCGCCGCCGCCACCGCCGCCGCCGCCGCCGCCGCCGGCCGGCCCGTCTCTCGCCCGGAGAGCGGCCGCGCCGCCGCTAGAAAGTGAAACAGGCCGCCGCCGTGTCCGGCTCCGGCCGCCTTTCTCGCGGGGCCCGGCTCCAGCGGCCGCGGCCAGGGCGGCCGGAGCGGGCGGGGCGCACGCCGACTGGAATGTGGCGGCGGGGGCGCCAGCTAACCTTGGCGGCTACAGGAAGTCGGGGCAGCGCGGCTCGCAGCCGGACTGCTGGGGTGGGCGTGGCCGACGGTACCATGCTGGTTTTCCCTAACAGGTTACGGTCCGCCCATGGCTGCACACATATCTCCCGGGCCATCCGATATAGAGCCGCCCGGTGCTCATGAACAGGTTAGCTGACGGCACGAGACAAATCCATGGTCTCACGCATGGAATAGTTGTTCGGGCTACGGTCCTCGTCTGGCGTGGTTAGCATGAGCCCATGCTTGCACATTGACACACTAGCAGTGAATATACTAACACACTAGACGGAGAACACAGGCAGAATAATTATTCCTGCAGTGATACCTGCGTTGCGTCTCAATCCTCCCGTGAAATACAGACAACAGCTAGGTGATCGACGGAGAAACCTGAGACAGAAAGCCATGACGCCTGTGGAGCAGGCTTCCGGAATCCGAATGCGTAACACAAACTATCAGTCAATTTGTTGTGCAAACACAGGAGAAACCGGCCACTACAGATATGTTTTCACAGCTTGACTTAGGTTACAGACGACATGTAATGAATGGATTCCACTACCAGACGCGGCACGCCACTGTCCGGTTTTCACAACAAACCTGCCACCTTAGCGGGCTAAACCTGCCGCCTTAGCGGGCTAAACCTACCGCCTTAGCGGGCTAAGCCTACATGTGATGGGGTTGATCGGGTGGGCATTGCTTATAACGTGCGATGTCATTATGTCCATACGGTGAAGGCGCATGCAACAAAGTTGTAAATTTGCCTTGCAGAACGAAGACAAACGTGTTGTTTAAAATAATTCTGTTAGCTCCCTTGACCCCATCCGGCCGCATGGGTTTAAAATGCTGGCGAACACGGACATATGGAAATACTGGCACTCCGGTGCTGTCCCCTTGACCAGGGGCGCACCTTTTCAAGAATGGCTGGGACTAGGAAAGTAATTTCGCGCATCTTCGGTCATTCTTTCCATACACCGCCATTGCTCTAATGCTAAAATCTACAACCACCGGGGCCAGGCTGCTCAAAAGCATGCAAAATCATGCCACTGGCTTCTACACACTGTGGCACCATGGTTCCATAGATGGAAGTACTCTCACGATTATGGCACCACGGAGATACGGCCCGCATTTCGCAGAAATGTTGCAAACTAACAGAGCGAACGTCTGACAAAGCGGAGGGTATTGCATTAATCAAGAGGAGATGGTACCACTTTCTGCGCATATAAAGTAAAACGTTTTTTAAGGCAGGCCAAATCCCTGTTATCAGTCTTGGAATGAGGGATCAGTTTGCAGGCCTCGCCGATTGGCACGATTTGACAGACCTCACTTTATCCTGTTTTCGACGGAAAACCGGTCTGCAAAATCACGAAAGTCTGCACAACACGGATCCAGCAGAGCACAGGCATCGGTCTCATCACAGCGAACCCGCTCCGGGTACCCTGCATTTCCGAGCCTTGGATAATGAAGTACTTGGAGAATATGCTATTTTGCCAAGAAACTACACTCGCTGCATGCCAACATTTTCATGCGGATTTTCAATGAATGAAACGCATTTCGTCGTAAACCACCGTCTTTAATTCACCGGACGATAAAAGCCAGGAATATCACGAATGCATCAAACGCCCGATAAGTTTTGTCAAGCTCAAGTGACAAAACCAAGAACATTCGTTGCATCGCCGCGAACTTCCACGACATCACGTGAGCTTATGGGTCAGGACAGTCAGGGCACGCGCAGCGACGAGCACTGCTTGGAGTGAGCGCTGATCTTACAACTCCATCCAATCAAAAGGGTTCGGGCTAAATCCTAAAAATCACGACTCAGGAGTGTGCCATCTCGCAGCGTGCTGCAAAGGAAAGGGATATCAATCGACTATGTTTGAATACGTGCGAAGCTCCTGTCTGTAGCAGCGACGTGTGCATTCACGCATCCACTCCACCCTGATCCTCCCAGCCCTGCCATCGTGTCGCTTCTCCAGGAAGCCTGTTCGTGTGTGTGTGTGTGTGTGCGTCATCGGGTCTCTAGGACGCGCTCAGCTGCTGAGGCTATATGGCGTCGCCTACCTCTCACCCTGGCAGGAAGGACGGGCACCGCGGGGAACCGAACAGCAAGCCTGTTCCTTCCCCCTGCCTCCTCGTTCAAGCACCGCCTCTCACCACGAACCGGCGCGGGCAGGGAACCGCGGTCACCGGCACTGCGGCCCCGCATAGTGCCGAGCACTGGCCCGAATAAGGCTATTCGGTGCAGTATCGCGCACACACGGGCACGGACGTCATGTGCGAGAAGGCAAACATCCGCGTCAACTCGGCTCTAACATCGCTGCTGTAGCTAGGCTGTGCCTCGTTAGAGCTGCTCACAACGTGGCCCATTTCCACGCTTCGTGGCCCAATTTCCCTAATCACCATCTCCCTGGGCTGTTGCGTCTCCCGGGGTGCCTAATGGCCACACTCGCGGACGATGGGACCCGACGCCTGCCTGCCGAGTGGCGCTCGCAGTTTCAAAACAGCGCATACATTTCCTGGCCAGCCACGACCCGTCGGGGCTCACCCGTCATGACGTCACATGAGCTCGCGGTTCCGTGGCCCGGGGCCCGACGGCGGCGCGGCCGCCTCTTGCGTCACCGGTGACGCAAGCGACCATCCCGCGGCCCTTCACGCGGAAGGGAGCGGGCGGCGGGCCCGCTCCCGCGGCACCCCGGCTCAGCCGACAACACGGCGGGCGGGTGACCCAGGTGACCCCAGGTCGAGCTCAGCAGACCGCTGGGGCACGCCTCACAGCGCGGGCCTGAGGCCGAGGGAAGGGTGGCCGGACGGCACGACTCGGAGGGGCATGACCGATGCGTGCTGAAGTGTATGTGGCCGCCCACAGCACACCTGACGCACGCGCGTGGCGGCCGAGGGCGGGGCTGACTGGTGAGGTGCCGATCGCAGCACGCACGTCGAGCAGGTGCGTACTGGGTGGGGGACGGCGGCGATCTTGTGCGTTCTTCACGAACATGATGAGAGGAGAGCAGGCACAGAGTTCTGATTAACATCTGGCCACAACTCAAGATTAGGGAGAAGACAGGGAGCGTGTCTTATTAGAACCATAACTCAGCTCTGGGCGAGGAGCCGAAATACCAAGTCCCATGACAGCGACCGCTGAGCGGAAACCGTCGCCGAGTCCCAGATCACGAGGCCACTTTGACTCATCTCTGAGCGGAAGTTGGAACACGAGACCTGTTTACCCCAGCTCGTGAGCTCAGCGCACGAGAGAGGTCATCATCCCGGCCACTCCCGGCAGAGAGCTGGCGACCAGTCCGCCTGCGCCGGGCGATCGCCACGAGCCGGTGCCCCAACCGTGTTCTCCGGCCGGGCCCGGAAACGGCGGCGAGCCCAGCGCGGCGCCGCCTCCCGTCGGGACCGCTGACACCGGGCCCTGTCGCCGGGACGGGGAGCGGCGCCGGCTTCCGGGAGGACGGCCCGTCCGCCGTCCAAGGTCGGCGGGACAGGCGGACCTCGCCGGGTCGGCTGCGCCCGGCTCCTCCCATCGCGAGGACTGGCATGCCCGGCTCCTCCCGGCCGACGCCTGTCCCGTCCCCAACACGGCCGGCCGCGCTGTCCCCGAGCTCGCTCCTCTCACCGCGAGGACTGGCATGCTCGGCGGCACGCAGCGTTCAGAGCGGGCGTGTCGGGTATGAGGGCCGGAGACATCGGACGCCTATACGGTTGCTCGGATTCGGGCCCGTCCACGGAATTCGGAAGTGCCGCTCTGGCAAGGACCTGGACCCCATGTTTTGACCCTCACCATGCATAACCCCGTCAGAACACTTACCAGGATTTGTGACCACCCTTTGGCGACAGTGCCGATCCTGAGACTCTCTCAGCATAGCACAGCTGACGCTGGCGGAGCCAGACCATGGCCTTGTTTCATAAAATGAAAGCGCGCATCTACCCACTTGATCTGCGTCATATGGACTCAAAGACCAATACAAAAACGGTCCAACCGACGCGCCCTATTCATCAACAACACAAAAATCGAGCGATAAAATATAATCTGGAAATGCGTAAGTTCATTGTGCCGATTCATGAAGCTACGTCAAGGCCGCGCGCCCCGGGCGGCGGTCGACACCGATGCGTAGAGAGCCGGCGGCCACGCGGCCGACCCACTTGGAGCAGTGGGCCTGACGCCCATCAGTGCCGGCGCACAGCCGGAAATGAGCTTTTTATTCGTTTTAAATGGCTTGTGGCTTTCTGAGGCTTTAGCCCCAAATCCACACCAAGTGGAGCTTTCGAGTGCGTGCCGAGACAATCACCCAAGTGTGTTTTGAAGTTAGCAGCAACTCCGTCTATGGAGGCCTAGATAGGTGTAATATTGGAGGCATCTTTTTCGTGCCACACAATGCCTTACAACTGCCCTATCGCTGCTGCCCCGTGCTACGCTGGCCCACTCCACTAAGCGGTCGGCCGGCCCCAGTAGAAAATAGAACGTGGCGCAATTATGTGATAAGGAGAGAAATAACATAAGAATAATAAGACTTCAAAACATCGTAGATACTACAGCACAGATATTGAGCACACCGCTATTAGCCAGAACCGCTTACTTTGATGTTATTTGCGTGCGCGGCGCTGCGCACACTCCACCGCTCTGTGCCTGTGTCCACGCCGCAGCCCCCGCCGCAGTCCTGCCCACCACTCGGCCGTCGATAGCAGACCCGGAAACGCTCACGGCCGCCGCTGGTCGCCAAGCTCGCGCTCCTATCACGGGGCTCTGACAGAGGGACAGGGCCGCGGCCGGCCGTCCTGCGCCGCTGGTCGCCCAGCTTGCGCTCTTATCATTCCCTCCGACGAAGGGACAGGACCACGACCACAGCTGGCCGCTCAGCTCCCGCTCCTGTCGCGCCCTCCGACGAAGGGACGGGGTGCTGGGGCCGGCCTGGCACGAGGGCCCAACATTTGAGGAGCGGCGGGTGGAGGGCACCACACGGCCGCGTGGGACTGATACAGCGCCATGTAAGGGACACGGTGGGTGGTCGGTCCCGCAGTGCCCCGACAGGCGTTACGTACAGCAGCTGCAGAAGCGACTCCCCCCCCCCCCCTCCCTCTCCGCCTGGAATCTGTACCATTTCAGGGTGGCCCACGGAATCCGTGCATTTTGCGGGCAGAGTTGTGGCGCAACTCTTAAGCAGCCAACCGGTCGGGCCCAGCTGCCGCTAAAGCCTGCCGTGTCGACTTTGCCAGGAACTCTGCCAGCCGGGACGCTGAGCTCGGTTCCCGATCCACATAGCGATTCAGGTGAAGTCGTGTGCACCGGGATACTGGGACCTCGTTACTGCGCCACGGCGAGCCAGGCGCGGTCGGTCGACTGCACACGACCAGCGGTGGCGAAGCATCGAATGAGTCAGGCAGAGGTTGGCCCAGTCCAAGGTCATTGGGTAACGCGGCATGCCGGTCACAGCAATGCACAGCACAGGGGCGGAGGGCTACGACACGCACCTATCGCAGAGTTCCAATTGATGCGCACGTCACGATGGCGGGATCACGGCACGTACGAGCCGCACGACACGTCAGGACACCGTCCAAGGTCAGAGGAGGGTCACGCCGGGGCCTGATCGTTCACGTTTACCGCGAGGCGTGCGCTATCGACAACGAGGATAAGATCTTTCGGTGGCTGCGAGCCCTCACAGGGCCGGCAACGGGCAGCTACGGAGGCGGCGACAAACGGCCAAGCTGCACGCGGACAGTAACGGTCTTCAGAAGGCCGACGAACGAAAAGCCAGGCCCTAATTGAGGCGTTTGGAACGAGCTCTCTTCCCTAATCAGACGCACGCGATGGGAAAAGCGCTGTATTCACTTGCCGGAAAAAACAGCCGGTAAATTGACCACGTCGGGAATTTTGGTCAAAGACACGATCATACACTTCACTTGTCCGGAGAGTGCAGCTTGCAGCGGCGTGTTATTCACACGCAAATGTACCTACATAAGGCATAATCTACACTAAAATGGTTAAGATGATGAACTTGATAACCTCTGGAAATCCCTGTGACGTCATTCCACAAACCTGTTGCACCCACTGGTCCTATTCGAATACATCTGGAGCCCATCGGACCAATTCACCGATTCACAACCATTGGAAATCTCAGTGACGTCACTCGAGAGAACCTCACAACCCGCGAACCCCGCTGTTCCGTGACGCGTTCAGCAGCGCATGCCTGGCTTCAGGCACCCAGTGCACGCACTCTCGTCGCCTGGATGCCCGATTTCCTACCAGAGTTTAAGGAAAAAAGCCGTGACTTTCAGCTGGCGCTTTCCCCCGTCAGCACGAAATTCGCTGAGAAACCGCGCCGAACAGACACTCGCTGCGTCAGAGGTGGCGCCGTCGGAGGCGACGCCGCCTGCAGCGCGGCCGACGGAGCGCAGCGGCCGTCGCGGCCCGCCGCGGCCGGCTGCGCGCACTCACCGCTCAATGATGAGATCGACCACGGCCCTCGCACTGGTAAAGCTGCGGTAGGTGGCGAGGAAGATGGTGATGTAGGTGGCGTCCAGCTCGCCCGAGTGCGAGCCCAGCGAGGCCACCAGGCGCTGCAGGGTGCCGGCCTTGATGAGCCGCACGCGCACCGTCTCCCACTCCAGGTGCGAGATCTCATCATCCGAGTCCTGCCGGCGCAGAGGCGGGCCCAGGGTTACGGTCGTGGCGGGCGCTGAAGCCAACGCAGGCGTCAGTCATGTGGCGAAGTAGAGACGCGTCGCCATTAAGTCATTTTGCCCAGGGTGTATGTACCACTGTCTTACGGGATGGGGACCAGCTCAAATTTTCACACGGCACTGTCTAGTAAATTCAAAATTGGTCGCAAACATACTGTATGCATACACACGAGACTACAGCCGACGGAGGTGGGTGATGCTCAGTGGTGGGCAGGGCGCGCCAAAAACTCAACCCGCTTATGTAACAGGATGTAGGGCGGTATGTTTCGCCTACTCCTCCGTGCTCTCCACGCTCGTTCCAATACTGCTGCGACGCACTCACAAGCTGCATTAGCGCGCGCATACTGTGTACATACAATCAGCACAGCCTTGAATAGGAAGCGGTGCCAAAGTTCGACACAACGCCGAAGCACGGACTTCAGGACAAACATTTCCTGAAAATGCATTCTCTGCACGTTGTACGTACGTCTAGGGCGTTCGCTGCGATTTTGGACCTGGTCTGCGGTGCGCCGTGGTTTTCCGACCTACGCTATCTGCATGACCAGCCCATCGCCTCGAACGTACCCGGCTTTGCAGAAACGAGCGAGAGCGAGCGAGCTCTGCACCGCAACGCCATCCGGCTGATCCACACAAAGCGCATGTTTGACTTTAATGCGAACTCCGCGGCGGCTTCCAGCACAAACATCCTACCCCGGCGTACCTAGCCGCAGACCCGTCCCCGCGTCTCCATCTCTGCCGCCCTGCGACGGCGGCGGCGGCGGCGGGGTGCGTGGGGCGTACCGGAGATGACTCAACAGCGCGGCCGTCCGGCGGCACGCCCCATTCTCCTCTGTTAACAATGCCCGGCCCGGCTGCACGATCCGTGCCCCAGAAACCGGTGCCGCTGACGAAAGCGGCCTCTAAGGCCGCGCCGAGCGGCGCTTGTTGTGACGGCGCGGGAATGCATTATCCCCGAGCACGAGAAGCGCCGGCGGCGCTCTGTCACAACGCGGCTCGGCGGCCGACTGCGGCGCAGACGGGCCGTGCCCCGAGACACCGTCCCGAGACAGGGCCGAGACCCGCCCGGCTCAGCGTCGGAAGCACGCTGCCGCTGTGGCGGGGTCTGAAGGGGCCCGTCGGCGGAACATGGAAATGAAATCCCGTGATAAACATGAACAATTGAAGGGAAACATGAATAAAGGGACGGGGAAGACGCACCATGAGTGGAGCTTATCGCAAGAATTCGGCCATCGATATTAAACAAAAGACAACACATACCATCACAGAGCTTTGCAGGAGGACCCTCTTGGAGAAAATGGTCGTCATAAGCACCCGGGGAGTCTCGACCACAACAGGCTCAATGCTCTAGGCATGGGCCGGGCCAGGGTTCGCTGCGGGCCACGCCCGGCGGTCAGTGGGCAAGAGTCGGAGGTCACGACCCGTGAACGCTGGCCGGTCAGCCGGCGAGGGAGCCGACGCTCGGCCGAGTACTTACACTGTCGGCTGCCGTGCGGCCCGGGTGATGGTAGCGCACCTTCTTGAGGTAGACGGAGCAGACGGCGTCGTCGCTCTTCTCGTCGCCCCACAGGCGCCACGACTGCTGCTGAAAGACCAGAAGCATTCCAGGTCATCATACGGCGGAGCCCCACACATTCCAGGTCACCACATGGCGGCGTCCCGGACATCGCAGGTCACCACGCGGCTGCGTCGCGGACATCTAAGGTCACCACACGGCGGCGTCCCGCATATCCAAGGTCACCACACGGCGACCTCCCGGACATCCCAGGTCACCACATGGCGGCGTCCCAGACATCCCAGGTCACCACATGGCGGTGTCCCAGACACCCCAGGTCACCCCACGGCGGCGCCCCGGACATCCTAGGTTACCACACGGCGTCATCCCGGACATCGCAGGTCACCACACGGCGGCGTTCCGGACATCCCAGGTCACCACACAGCAGCTCCCCGGACATTCCAGGTCACCACACGGCGGCGTCCCAGACATCGCAGGTCACCACACGGCGGCGTTCCGGACATCTCTGCCTCTCAGCACCGCCCCGGACACCGCCGGACGGGGCTCAGCCGCGCGCCAGCCGGCGTTAGCACGGCCGCTCATCACGCGGCCCGTTACGCGTCACACCGTCACGCCGGGGCCCGGGCCGAGGGGGTGGGCCGGCGCGCTGTTCCGCCCCAGCGGTCCGCACGCCCCGGTCCGCGCCGTGTGTCGCGCGAGGGCCGGGCGGGCCGGACCGGTGCGGTCGCGCCGAACCATGTGGTGGGGGCGGCCGCCATCTGCCGGCCGCCGCCGCCGAGCCGGCCCCAGAGCATATGGCGTCGCCAGACCCAGCAGCCCACCACCGCCGCATTCCGATGCGTCGTCCCGGCTCTGGGCACGCGTCCGCCGCTCTTGCGGCACGTGCGGACGCATTCGCAGCACGCATCCCTGCCGCATCACGTACTCGGTGCCAGCTAGTGTCGTAATGCCCACTGTTGGAAACGCACCCTGTGTTTTCCCCTCAGTCCGTGGTTTGACCAAGCCTCGTCGCTCAGCGGCGCAGACACACAAAAACACGCACCACGCATTGGGCCATGTCATCCAGCACATTATCTCATCGACGCCCCTGTCAGGGCGGACGGAGCTCTTCCTCTGCGGCGGATACAGCGATCCATTACGGACAGGCAGGACACGCCGCTGACGCGCTGAAGTGGTGCCCGGCGTGACTGGCACTGTTCCAGGGCCGTTTGGCGCGAGGGGAGACCGTCCCGCACCGGCGAGGCGTCGCGCAGAGCCACCACCGTCAGCGACCACCCGGATCAGCGACCGCGCGCTCGCGCTCAGGCCGCGCGGCCTTCCGACAGACGCCAACTGCGCAACGACGCCGCGGCCGTGTGGGGACGGCCTGCAGCAGCGCCGCGGCCGTGAAGAGACGCCTCGCAGCAGCGCCGCGGCCGTGAAGGGACGGCCCGCAGCGGCGCCGCGGGCGTGAGGGGACGCCTCGCAGCGGCGCCGCGGGCGTGAGGGGACGGCCCGCAGCGGCGCCGCGGGCGTGAGGGGACGGCTCGCAGAGGTGGCGAGGAGCCGCCGCTCAGCCGCGCGTTGTGACGGCCTCTCCCGCACATGACTCTAACTCAGCCGGCCCCGCGCAGAGTCGTCAGCTCGACCGGCGCGCGCGATCGTCCGCAAGATGCGCGAACAGATGTCATACGGACAAAGCCGCCAAATGCCGCCGTCACGCCGCGGCGTAGCGGACCCACGTCTCCAGTCCGATTCGTTCCCTCAGATTTATGGTCTTGACGCGCTGAAAGACCCGATGGGTAGGAATCTTAACGAACCATTCAGGACGCGTCATACGCTACATGAACGGACTGCTTCGATCTCCTACAAGTGTTCCCATCAGTTCGAGTCCGTTCGCCACCGTCAAAACGGCTGACCCTGACACATGCAATCTCGACAGCGTGCGAAACGCCATACTGGAGGGGTTTCACTCGGTATGTTCCATAAGTTAGCCGCTCTGAATTTGCCCGTATGCCCGTCAAATGATGGCTGATGTCTGCGCAGATCCAAAAACAGGTCAACCATCCGAAGCTCGTCCCGGTTCGCCTGCATGTTCCGGTGAACACCTGATCATGCATCGTGGCCTTCATCCAACAAATCGCAAAATTTTCTAGTTTGACCATCGATCTGAGGCAGGGGCACACGAAACCAAGCTTATGTGCTTGCACACAATACGCCGTCTTGCACCGAATCAACCCGTCCCTCAACGATCCAGCTTAAGTTCCATCCGCGCTGTGTTGCCCGCGTAACAAGACCGTCTGGATCAATGGCAACAGATGACGCATCTGGGCAGCTTAGTTGGACGCTGATCGCGTTGCTTTTTAGCCCAATCGAACTAGCCATGATTTGCATAGCGCATAAACGTCCGTCCATTAGACCTTTAAATTGCTCGAAAGCGTTCGGCTCATCGGGCCATGGAAAAGAACGTTCCGCGGTTTAAACATATATTGTGTGGCTGACTAAGGGTCAGCACTGCACACCAAGTTCGTCTAGCACGGCTGTCGTCAACTGACAGGTACATCGGACTTTGTCTACGATTCATATTCACAAGTTGCACCTTCCAAAAATACTCCTGACTGGTGACTGTGGTAGCCAGTGAGGTAGCCAGTGGACAACGATTCCTGCCAAGATGTTATCAAAGCAGGACTTCTTCATGATTCTGTCACATGTCCGTCAAGCTCGCCAGCCTGTCGGGGTGAGTCTTGTTTTATAGCCTCATGGCCGTCTTGGTGTCTCCTAACGGTCTTGGACCCTCGAAAAACCGAACGTTTAGGGGACGAACGTTGCCTCGCGATCCCATCACGTACGTGTCAGCGACATCCAGCCAGTTCCGGAGCCAAATGTAAAATGCGAGCGCAAAATACCGTACACAATAGTTATCATCTATCGCTGCACTAGGGCCGAAAAACCTTCCAAAGGGCTTTGCTTATAATGCTTTTGGACATTCGTTCCTGCGCCTGCCCACCAACGTCACGTGATCGGTGCGTGTATCCGCGCTCCGTAGGTGCAGCGACTGCCCTTTCGACTGGACTGGGCTTTCTGGCTCGCACATGGTACAAGTGATGGCGGCGTCTCAGCTGGGCGAGACAGTGTCTCCGTGCAAGCAGGTGCTGGGGTCGGCAGAGGTCGCGTGACGTCACAGTTGACTGGGATCGTGCCGCGTAACGCCCAGTGTCCGGTCGTAGACAAACAGATAGCTTTTTCATAAACTGACGGATAATTTTTCGGCCACACTGATTTTTGGTCATCTACTCTTAACTTCGATGTGGGCTAGAATGAAACACACCTTAATCATAATTTACATCCATTTCATTTACATTTTCACTAATGCATTCTACGAACAGCAGAAAAAACGGGTGTGAAGGAGGGCACAAATATCAGTTTGTGTACTGTTTACCAGGTGTTGGGGACCGGAGGTGGTCAGGCGCCGACGTCACAGGTGGGTGGGACGCCGGCACCTGGCCCGCGCCAGGTGCCGACGGCCGCCGGGGGAGGGGGAGGGGCACCCAAGGTCGGAAGCCCTGACCCGACCAAGGGCTTCACGTGCCACGCCGACGGACACCCGCGGGTTTTTCAAGCACCTGGCTTCCGTCCCAGCGACACACAGAACGGGGGACGAGCGTGGATGGGGAGGGGGGGGGGGGAGCAGGACAAGGGGGTGCGGCACCACCCCACTCGACATCCGGCTCGCGCCCACACTCACCGGGCTCTGGTAGACGTACCAGCGCGACGCGCCGCGGTCGGCGCTGCGGGTCGTGGCGCTCGTTGATCCACACCGTGCTACCGGCCGTCTCGTCGCCCTCGACAGGTACATACCACAGGCTTCGGGCGCTCGAGCGGCGGCGCCGCTCGGTGCCGCCGCCCGGCAGCGTCTCGGCCAGCGCCTCGGCCAGCGCCTCGCCCAGCGACGGGCGCCGGCCGCCGCCCGGCATGGCGGCGCCCCACACCAGCGCTCTCGCGCCGCCGCCGCTCTCGCGCGCTCGCCGGCCGCCGGCGCAGCTGCCGTCACTTCTCACGACACCGGCGCCGCGCTCTTCCGGCCTCTCACGCAGGCGGCGGGCTCCCGGCGCTCGCGCCGCCCCGGCCACCGGAGCGCCACTGCCGCGTCGTGGCCCGGCGCGTGACTAACAGCGGCGCGGCCGGCGGGGCAGCACGTCCGGACGGCGACCCGCCCCCGTCCGGTCGGCGCGGCACGGTGACGCACGACCCGCGGCGGGGGCGTCCCCGTCCCGCGCGTGGCGCGGCACCCCTCACGCACGGCCGGCTCCCACGGGCGCCGGCGCCTCCGCGTCCTCCACGTCACGGTCTGGCGACTGCGCCGCGCCCGCCGCTGAGCCGCCTCCCCGACGCACCTGTCGCCGCCGCGTCGACCACTGAGGCGCCACCAGCGCAGGTGGCGCCCCGGGCAAGAGAGCGGTGCGCCAGGACCGCTGGAGTGGCCGCCGGTGGCCGGGTGAGGACAATCCCCCGCCGTCAGAACGCTTCCGCGGACATTTGTCTGGCTTGGTTGCCGCTTAGAGGCAACTGATCGCATGCCACCTGCCATGGCTTGTCTGGCTTGGTTGCCGCTTAGAGCCAGCTGATCGCATGCCACCTGCCACGGCATGCAGTGCGCATTCGGAAGTCTCTTTACCTGTACGAAAACCAGCCGCCTTGTCTTTCTGGGCGAATCTCGGCAGCGTTGCGTAGTGAGTGGTAAATGTCGGCATTGCTCGGTCACTTCTTTTCTGGGCCCGGCATTCAGCTGTTCATGCTAGGCAAACCCGGCATAGAACAAACTGCCTGGTGTAATCTCTCGTACGAACTACAGTCACTATTACCTGAACTGATACCCTGTCTGGTACAATCTAACGTCGTAGGAGCTACAGACGCTTTTTACCTGCACTGAGGCCTTGAACTTGGCATTGTTTACATAAACAATACAATATGCAATGCTGCAGCTCAGATGACTGATATCGCGTAAACCGTGGCCAACTGAAACGCTCAGCACAGATGATGCCCTCACGAACATACCCACGTAATTCAAACTCGTGCGCACGTTTCTACCTGACGCAGCTCGAACGTAGCTCTACCAAAAACTTATAAAGCATCCAGAGCCCTCGGTCGGTGCGCAAATGCCTTCACGCCGACCAAAGCCAACAACTTTTTGCCGTGCGAGGCACGCATGCATTGCACAGTTTTGCAAATAATTAAAAACGCGGCGTGCGGCGATACGCGGCGTGCGGCGATACGCGCCGCCACGTTCTCTTGTGTGGGCCACCACCACAACAGGTCATCAAAAATGCGGCCCACGTGCCGCGCCGTGCGCTGGTCGGCGGCGAGCGTCCGACACGCGGTGAACGCCAGCAAGCGAAAAGCGGCTATCGCACGGCCCATGCGCCGGGGCCGATCATTTCACGTCGCCCTGACAGCTTTAAACGAATAAATGACCAAATATATGATAATAAAATATATTATAATAAATAATAATAAATGACCAAAGCGTCTGCGGCAGACTGACATCGTCCCAGAGCGTGGCCGGCTGAAAATCTGCGCCCTCCGTCCGCCGCCCGCATCAGGCAAGACGCTGGCGCTGCGTGCTGATAAGCCATCGATGACGTCGCCCCGGCCCATGACGTCACCTCCGGCCGATGACGTCACGGCAGCGCGTCACGGCCTCCGCGCGGGTCCGTGAACCGTGACCGGCCGGCCCAAGGTTCTCCGCCCGTGCCGGGAGGTTGCCGCGCGCCTTTGTTCGGGCCGGCCGGCCGCGGCCCGTTGCACCTCGCAGTCTTGGTGACAGCCGGGGCTGGCCGACGCTGTCAGAATCGCAGGATTTAGCGGCTTTTCTGTGGCAAACCTGCATCCTATGACCTTCGGGACAAAGGATCAGGGAGGGGATGGCTTATGCGGTTGTCTGTTATATTGGTTACATCTGGGTGCAAAAAAACAGCCGCTCAGCTAGTGTGTATATATATATATATATATATATATATATATATATACAGGGTAGCTGCTATATAGAGCTGTCGATATGTTAATGGCAAAGACGGCCATATATATATATATATATATATATATATATATATATATATATATATCACTAACTTGCATGCGATGCGTCCACAAACCATGTAGGTACTGCACCGCCAGAAGAAATGAGGCATGCCAGCCTGGTCTATTAGCCTCCTGCCTGCGCCTACACGCGCCAGTGCCGACTTATCATCTACAGATGCTGTCGATCACCACCACCGGGAAGAATTTGTCCGGCACGGGTTCGCGGGATTCACGCCCGTGCCGCCAGAGGGGAGCTGATGCCGTCGTCGCACCGATCAGAGCGTCGTTAATGTTGGGCCTCTATGGGCCCAACGTCGTTACGTTGGGCCCAGAGCGTCGTTTACGCTTGGGCCTCACTTGCAGCTCCATTATCACCACAGCCGTCACGCACCTGCCGTCGCTCGCCGGACTCCAGGCGGGCGCACCAACAGCACAGAAACGGGGCCGTGGAGGAGGAAGCAGGAACGTAGCCGCTCAAATATGGGTCAGAAACGCGGTCGTGGGAGAACACACGACCATGACAGCACGGCTTATCGAGGGCCTCGTGATCGATTGAACGTGGTTGAATGCAAAATGTTGAATAGCGAAAGAAGGTCGGCATCATTGAAAGTGAGTCATCGTTATTCGTGCATCCGAAGAGGAACGCCAACGGATTAGTTTCAATACCGGTACGATAAATGTTGCGTGATAGACGAGAGTAAACAGATAAGGATCACGCACCCATTACAGCAATGGGTCATGGTTATTCAAGGAAGGCACAAATACGCCCAAACGCGGATGAAGCCAGAGGAGAAAGATGATGGCCAACGGACTCATGACGCTCCCTTACGAAACGTACAACATTCGGGGATGGAGGGAAACTATCTCATAAATGCGCTCAATGAGTCTCGCTTGACGCCGCTCATTGCAGCACACCAACTTCATAATAAGAGGCCCCCAAGGAACAAAACAGGAAAGATGGCGACCTGTGCGAGTCTATCGCTGCTGCCCGCTAGAGGCGCTCACGAGTTCTCCCGCTCGGCTCGCCCCCGCTCGGTGAGCAGATGCAATCAGCTGACAGATTGTCCCCAAGTTTGAATTAATGGGGTGAGTGCCGCTGCTTGCAACGTACCATGACTGAGAGACGCAGAAACGTTACATGCGAACAAGAACGTCTTGACCACTTGATGTTTGGAACAGTGGAAACATTTTGTCAGGTGTTCCCATGACACGCTATGGTGTAATGTTGGGTGCCGATTGCTGGGGAGGTGTGCTCCTGACAGGTACCACCCGGCCTGCATACGATTCCACCAGAGAGGAAAACAGCATCACCAATACAAATACTGAAACCGGTCGTCTCCTTCTTTAAAGCCGCAAGAAAAGTGAAGCCAATCTCTGATCCCGCCTACAGCGAGAAGAAAATGCGCAATTTGGAAAGCCTGGTTTAAGTTACGTTGCAGCCGCAGCCGCAGCCGCACCTACTTCCTATCCTGTGTGCGTGCTTAGACGTAATTATACGGACGGATGGAACATCAACAAATGATGAAGTAATCCTCGGGATCCTTGAGATATTCTCGTCCATTAATGACAAACACCACACCAACATTGCATCAATGAGGTGCAGCTTAAGCGATGCAAAGAAAAACAGCGACAACAGCATGATCATATGACGACGAAGGGCGCGCCGTGATCGTCGAACGGTAACTATGCATCGGAAGAGCTGGATTTGAACAAGCAGCTCTCGTCAGTTTTACGACTGACGGAAAATTACAAGCCACTGGATCCTTTTGCCAATGCATCATCGTTTAAAAAGAAAACTTTTTGATCCCTGTGTCCCGTGACACTGACCTCACCCTGATAGTCGACATCAGCCAAACCGACCTGCTCGCCGGCCCCTGGTGCAGCATTACTGCAGTGCACAGCATTGCAACTAGCGGGTGGCACGCGGGCACACCCAGAACGGGGTCTGCAGAACCCACAAGATGCTCACGTAATCTTTTTGCAAAGCATCCCCACTCGTGAGTCTGTCTTCAGAGAACACATGGTCTGACGTGATACCTCACCAGCCTGGATTTATGAAGGATTCTTAGACATCATAAAGTAGTACTATGGCACCGCGTAAGCTCACCACAGCTAACACCAGGCACCAGCGATAGGCTCGCAGCTGCGGCCGGGGTCTCTGCTTTGTAACCGGGGCTTGAGAGCTTCACCGCGAGATGGCGGCATACTTTGTCGCCACGACCACGAGTGCCGCCCGTCCCGATCGATGCGAAACAACCTTCCATAAAGCCAGAGGACTAAGGCGTACCAAAAAGGTTTCTCGATTTGTCGATCCCAGAAAAACTCAAACAACTCTGATTTCAAAGACACCTTTTCAACAAATCCAACTGAACTATCTCCATCTGTTTACCTTTACCCTCGGCTGTGACATTAGGGGGCACAACACTCATGACGGCAATATTACTGCTGCGATCTGGCCGTCAATCCCAACCCAGACCAAGACATTTCTTACGCAATAATCGCAATATCCATGAGGATTTTTGGCGACAAGAAAGATATCGCATGAGCCTGGAGAGGGTGCAAGAGCTTTTATGGGCTCAACTCATGGCGTTTCTTCGGTACACCCTACGACTTTAACACAGTGATATTCAAAAGATGGGTCATTGCCCAAATCCAGGTCGTTTGGCTTTTCGGTTGGGTTGCTAATACTACACTCCGCAGTTGATAACCCTATAAATTTGAAAATGCGACGAGTTTGGGTCAAACCAAGTCACCGTCTGCATTCGCAAACAGAAGCATAATCTGAGCATCTGCTGGAACCGATTGCTACTCAATAGGCGGATGCCATTTGGAACATAATGGTCATCACCGCTGAGCCGCTGTCAGTGACCCAGGGTCATGTTTGGAAGAAAAATGCTGTTTTTCACCCCTCAATTCCGCAAAATGCGCGCCAAAATGCCGAATCATTTCAACAAGCGCTCATGTCAAGTCAGCTCCGTTGCGAAACAACATACATGCTATCTATCAGCCAACCAGCAGTACGAAACAGGGTTTACACTCCACATCCCAAAGGCAGCTACAAGCAGTTCATGATGCTGCTGCACGTAACCACCTAGCTCAACGGCCGCCGACTCTCGCAGGTTAGGCTCTTGATCAAAAACCCAATGTACGTCGGGTACTGAGGCAAGTACGTAAAACTAAGGCAAATTCGAGATGTTCGTCCTTGATTTCAGTTATATACACATGACTGCGCTCCGCGCACGTACTCTGATAAAATGAGCCTCGGGCGGTTCGTAGCGTGCCATTGAGTTTGAGCTTGAAAAAGGCCGAACACCACTAATCTAAGGTGTCAAAACAGGACAGGTCAGTCGATCCAAACACAAATCCTTTCGTGCCTATCTTGGGCATAACACCGCTTTCCGTGTTACACGTGGTTCACTATGTTTGTTGAGGTCAGCCAGCTTTGCGCCGATACCACCAGTTTTGGAAGCCACGACCACGCATCTGGCGATTTCACGCCTACTATCGCCGTGTCGTAATTGGCCTGTTCAAATCGAGAGCGCTGTGTGGGGGCAGCACACAGCCCGCGCGTGCAGCACGTTGCCCGTAATTACCAACGGCGAGGGCGGCGGCTTGACTCCTGACGCCCGGCAGTTACCGGCGCCATCTTCGGTGTTACGACGGGCAACGCCGGCTCGGCATCGAATCCGGCCGCCGCTCCGCCCCGTTACAGTACAATGCGGCGGCGCCGTACGGCGGCACGGCGGGCGTGAAGCCAGGCGGGACCCGGTGGCCGTATCACGAACATTGGTTTTCATCGGTTCGTCGTTCGGGTTTCGTGGACTAGCTGTCGCTTCGCCTGGAACTGTACGAGTTCAGTGCGTACTACTTCAGCACCATGGTACTACTTCAGGCCACAGCGTACTACTTCAGGCCATGGGCAAACGCGCCACGTCCTTTCACGCAAGGCTTCAGTCGTCACATTTCCGTGAACATTGATATCACAATGCAAACCAATAACGCCTCACGGTGTTTGTCACATTTCATGTCTCACTTACCCCGGACGTTCCCGTCCTTCGACATGCTTCCCACCAGCTGGATGCGCATATCTCACAGGAAGTTGGGCTCGTCTACGCCCCGCGCCAGATCGTGTGTGACGTCACGCCTGATCGGCGCCAGGGGTGTGCAGTCAGCCGCTGCTGGACAGCGGCCTCGAGTCGTTCCCGTTCCCAGTTCCGCCCGAGCTCTCGCTCAGTCCCTGACTTCAATGCGGCGGCTGCCGCGCTGGGTGGAATTCGAACATGAATTGGACGCAGCTGAACGAATGGGCTCATTCTCGAGAATGACATGCCGAAGCTGAAGAAAGGCCCGCGACTTGCAGTCGGTCGGTTTGACCTAACAAGTGCAAGAAAACTTCAACCTGTTTCACCCGTTAGCAGCGTCGTCTAATGACGAGAGAGATAACGAGTGTGAAAGGAGTGGCGGCAGGCCTGGGGCTACCCTCCCCTGCCCTGGTTGACCCTGCCAGTTGTTCTCCGGCAGTGACGTGGTCAGCAGCACCGCGAGAGATCGAACCATCCAAGGGAAGACAGCGGCTCGAGGC